GCGTACTTCACCTGGCCGATTCGGGGAGTCTAACAGCTCTGTCTGTCGTAAATCAAGCATGTCAATCGGCAATGCCTGCCTGCATTTGCAGTTAATCGCCCAGAACGATGGGAAAGTTTGCTCAGCTTTAATGCTCAGCGGAGTAGCCTAATTTGGTGTAGGGAAGAATGATTGCCGAAATCATGTCGACACGCATCGGTAATTAACCGTACAAGCCCGCGTTCAAAAAAATGTTTTTTTTTTCGCCAAATGCACAAAGAACATAATTCGCGCGCCCTTTTTCCGACGCACTGCATTTTGAGGGCAAGAATAAGCTAAGCCATACTTCATAACACAGACACACACAACAGTTTATCAAACACAATAACACAGAAACCAAGAACTCAGATAAAGGGGAAAACATTTCAGACACACGATTTTAGAATTACCGTTTTTTAGTTGGCGGAGGAGTTTTCCTGAGTGTTTCTCAATCTCCCACCACAAACCAACCTATTTAGAGGATTATTGAGTTTTCACAAAATCGTTTATTGACACAACACTACTATTTTAAGGTCCTACAATGATATCGTAAACCATTTAGAAGCTGGATCATGAAAGCTATTTTTACTGTATACTTCTATATTACTCTAATGTTCAGCCAAAGATGAGGGTCAACTTTGAAGAAATCTCGCCAGTTCGCAAGGAGAGAGCGCTGAGCCGTCAGAGATAATAACACACAAGAAAAACAATCGAGAAAGCAATAAATAATTATCAAGGGCCACTGCGACCATTCCAATTCACCTGTTGGTTCAAAATTATCACGCTCGCTTGTGGACTTCAATGTGGAAGTCGGGCTTGGGCATTGTCAATGCATAATTTCCAAGCACCTTTGCTTTAACACCAACTAGGGCAGTTGACGATGGGTCAAAACTAGAAGTCGAAGTCTTCGCGATCTGAGACTCTAAAGCACAGTGCAAATACGGTCACTGCTTTGGAGATACATTATAGTCTCTACACTTTTCTAAGACATGATTCCACTTGACCACCCGTTCACCACAAATAATGCTAAAAATCACAACTTCATATGCGTGCTCCTGGTTATGCCGGTCATAGGTTCTGATCCGTGTTTCCTAATTTCGCGATGGGGGATGGGGACAGGTGTACAAGCGTATCATACATAGTGTGGACCTCTGCACAAAAGAAGTCCACACAATGCAGGGTACGATGACGTTGTGTGGACTTGCACACGTCCACACAATGTTTTCCCCTCCCTGAAAAACAGTTTCAGAGGCATTTTAGGATAAGGTTATCTATGGCAAAATGAAGAGGAACAGTCCAGGGAATCATCATCAAAAACCAGCTCGAAGGAGTTATCCTGGTTGGAGAAAAAGGGAGCATTTTCCTCAAGTTTCCTTAACCACAGAAGAACAAAGGAATGTCCACACTTTGTATGTAAAACGAGTGTGTGTGTGGGGGGGGCAGTGACTTGCCCGGCGATGGAAATTTGAAAAAGGGGGGGTTACCATATACACCATATGGGGGCGATGTTCATGATAAGCTGTACATCTGTAATGTGTATCAAATTCGAGTCTTACATCAGAATGGTGTATTTGAGGCATTTTAAAATTGCATTCTTCTTAAGTGATGATTGCAAACAATTTGATTTAGGAAATCGTGAAATTCTTCACAATCTGCGTTACTTTTTTTGCACAAGAAAGTGGAGGAGGGATGATTCAATAGCCCATGCACATTCCTCTGGGGAAAATGTACCAGGTAAAGCCCACACTTCAAGTGGGACTCAATGTCCACGAACGCAAGTGGGACTCAAGGTCCACGAACGTAAGTTTTGATCCCCTTATCGCGTACCATGAACGGAAATCATGAACACAGAGATCAACAGCACTTTCAAGCACAGATAAAAACAGTTGACTTTGTGTACGTGCTACAAAACAGTCACCAAAAGGAACACTGGACAAGGCCTCCTTGCCTGTATAGGAGGCCGTTCTTTTGTTGAGAGTTACAACCGTGTAATAAGATCTGTAGTCACGCTGCGCAAAAGGAAATACTTCAAAGGTGTCACACCTGTGACGTAAATTCGTGAATATGGCAAAATAGTTATCCTTTATTTGGTCACTCTTTGGTACTCAGGCAGTTTGAAAAAAAAACTACGTATGCAAACAGTTCCGGCCTCTTACTCACGAGCAGGCTTAAAACAATGGTGGCTCATACCGAAACATTCAGAAAACGGTTTCCGAAATCCCAAATTCTACTTCTTGTGCATTGTTACCTCTTGCCGCAAGCTTACATCTGCCAGCCATTCTCTTTGCTTGATCCTTGACAGAAGCCATGTATCTTTTTTCTTTATTCCTGTCAGTTTTACATAATGTTGTTTGTGTTGAATTTAGTGGTTTTTGATAAATTTATTTCGTGGTGCAACTTGCGGTGAGGTTTTGGAGCATTATACTATAATAACTTTTTGTATTTGATTAATATTCGCAAATAGGTCATTTTGGAGACATTTTGATGTACACTTTTCAGTATTAGGGAGACATTGGCTTTTAGGGAGACATTTCAGTGTCTCCTTATTTTCAAACTACCAGAAGGAGGCAGAATTTTAATGTCCATATTCTGAGAGATGATAGTTTAAGGCCTAAAATGAAAACGTACAAAGTTTGGTTCAGATCAGAGTAGGGAATATTGAAAGATGGGACAATGAAGATAGAAAAATTTGCAGGCAGGCACGTTCTTATAGGAATGTCTATTTTTATTATTATTTCTATTTTTACAATAGTTTAATTGTAGCATACATGTTATTTTGCCAGTTGGCCACGGGATGTATAAATAAATATATCAGGTAAAATCAATAAATCAAAAATAGGCCATATAGTCACCTGTCATTGAAATTATCAGAGGTCGTAATTAATTTTCGCTAAATTCATTTTTTGGGACAAGTCGCTGTAGTCCATGGTATTTCATGATTTCTAGCAAAAAAATACTTCCTTGTTTTAAAAGGGACTTAGTGATTGAAAGAAAGGAATTCACCCAAATATAAGTCCAATCTCTTCAGCGAAGAATGCAGCTGCAACATCAGATACATTGATGCCCAGTAAAGTCGAACAATCGGCTTTGAATGTCTCTTTCTCAGAATCAATCGCATTTCCATATCCTTTTTTCTCGTACTTGAAAGGCAGGGTCACTTTGTTTGGGATCTACGATTTAACATTGTTGAAACCACATAGCCTATTCATTCCAGACTTATGACCCCGTTTCATCAGTATCCAGTTTTGTACATAGAAACAAGGGTCTATGAGGACAGACGTAAACTTTGAGAAAAGGTCCTCTGTCGTTGCTCTTTAATTGTTTGTTAGCTGCTTCGGCTACACTGCCGAAGATGCTATTGTTTTCATTCTCTGGTTCGAGATGGGGAAGTACACACTGTAAACATTTTACTCACTTCCTAAGCACTTGCAAGCGCGTCATTTAGTACTTGTTGCACTTATGATGTGTAAATGAAAGCATGTGGACACCGGAGTTACATGAGGTGATACTGAATGTTTCAAGCAAAACACTTTACATTCTTGACATAGTACCTGAAGTGCAATTGCTCCCACTTCTTGCACCTGTTTGCACACCCAAGTATGTACTTGCTGCACCGGAAGTGTTCAAGTGACAACATACAGACACTTGAGGTTGTGTTAAATATTTAAGTGCAACACTCCAAGTGCTTTAAAGGAACCAGGAAATAGAAATATTTTAATAAAATTTTACTAAAAACCCTTCGAATTGCACCATTGGGTTATAATTTACCTGATTGAAATTTTTGTTTTGAAATTTTAACCCTTATTTTGATGCCTTTTTGTTTTTATGCTAAAGCTATTTGCATATTCATGAGCAGAACTATGATGTCATCCAAGGCACTGAATCTCAATGTTACATTGATTTGTGCACAGAAAATTTCTAGATTTTTGTAACCACTGCTATTGCAGATTTCATTTTCTTTGGCAATTTGTTGTTGTGTAAGTATAGGCCTATGCAATAATCCAGCAAAAATCCTTTTCACAGAAATGTTCCCAGATAGCAAATTTTGGGGTTCACAATTTGAACATGAAAATATGCAACCTGGACTATGCCTTCCAGGATTTACATCTAAGCAAAAGCGTTCTCACTTGTCCAGAAATGCTTGGTCAGTTTTTAATGTTTGAAAAAGTGCCCCGTTCAGCTCACGTACCTCAAAAAAGATGTCAAACAGTCTTCATACATGGAAGAAGAGTACAGAGATACACAAAAAGTGATTCTAAGAAAAATTCATTTCCTGGATCTTTAAGTATGGTACCTGAAGTACCTGAACGGTAAAATTACTCCTACCTCATGCACCTGTATGCACACTTGCACACTTGAGTAAGCACCTGCTTCACATGAATTGGATTAAAGTGTCAAGATATTAACATTTCATGTGATATTACTATTTGATACGTGACACCCCATGTGCTTGAAGTACATGTATTAGCAAAGAACTCGAAGTGCATTTGCTCCCATCTCATGCCCTTATAAGCACAATGCTGCACTTGACATGTTTCCGTAGCAGGATATTCACATTTGAGGTAACATAAAATGTGCTTCAAGTGTTAGTTGGGTACCTGGATGAAGTGCTCCTGCTCCCACCTCCTGCACCTGTATGCACACATACACGTGCACTTGCTGCACATGAAATATGAAAGTAGTAATATGTGATCACCTGAATTACCTGAGGTGATATTAAATATTCCAAACGTACCACTCCATGTGATTGGATGATGAGTTTGATACCTGAAGTGCATTTGATACATTGATACATGTATGTATAGTAGGCGTTATTCATGTTACTGTGCACACGTATGGCACCTTTACTAAGTGAGAGTTATGGAGTAATATCATTGAAGTGCTTAAAGTGTTCCTAACTTCGTATTTGAAGGTTAACATGTGTTTGAACACACTTCGGCCTCAACCGATTCACCCAACGGATTATCGTCGTATGAATTACTCGACGTGCGTTGCGTTTTAAGAATATACCGCCTCGTGTGATTGTTCACTCTTGAGGTTCGAATGATGATCTGAACTGGCGCACCTCAGGTTCGAGCACTTATGGTGAGGGGGTCTGCAAGACGAGGATAAACGTGGCCTATGTCTTGTGTAAGAAGCAGATTTGCAGGGTTTTTTTTAATGTAGACACTACGACAGTGAATGGTGAGTACCTGAGGTACTTGAAACAATAAATCAGCGCCGTTTATGGTCACGTGAATATAACAGATTACAAAGCGCATACTCGGGCGTTCAGTAGCGTTACCGTGCCCTGCCTATCCTACGTGAGTGCGTACAGCATAGAGATGTGCATAAACATGGCGTCATCCAGTGACATAAGTACACTTGAACTCAGGTCCTATCAGTTTTTGAGAGAAAAAGAGAGATCTGAATTAAGATATCATTGAAAAATTTGAGAGTATTTGTTTTTCAGTAAAAAGAATTGGAAGCGCTATGTCCGTTTTTATAGAGATTTAACCTTAAACTGGAGAGACAGTCACAGGATTATTAATCCTATTACATTGGCCTCTTGGCCGATATCAAGATAGGACAAATATCAAGTCCTGTTTTTGCACAATGCGCTGCGACGTTATGTGTTTCATGCGGATGAATGTACACTGTTTTGTATTTACAAAGGAAAAGGGACATCGCTTTGTCGTAGAATTTTACCGATGGTGAACTTAAATCTAGATTCACAATTAACATTAGGCCTAATCCACTATTTCTTCCTAGTGGTAGGTCTACATAACTAGCTAGGGGCTTACCACAGGCCGAGGCCCTACCTGAATTAATATTTTGAATCCCGGCTAGGTTATAATAGCCGTCTTTATAAAAATATTACTTTCAATCAAATGTTCAACAAAGGCAAGTGAAACCCTATCACTCTGTCGATGGTAATACAAAAGTTAGTACGTGCTTATAGGCCTAGTTTGTAAAACCCATAAAAAGGAGGACTCAAAAAGAGGGACAGAATCAGCATGAGAGAGTTCCCATTTGGACCAATAAACTGATCAATAAATTCACAACTTCAACGGTTCCATAAAGTTGCAGTCATAAAAGTCACACTCTCTTTTAGAGAACCGTCACATAATGTTTGACAGGCCTGCAATGAATCATGGACTCTGTTGATTCCCGAGTCAGCATGAGAGAGTTCTCATTTGGACCAATAAACTGATCAATAAATTCACAACTTCAACAGTTCCATAAAGTTGCAGTCATAAAAGTCACACTCTCTTTTAGAGGTCTCTACCTGTGACATAATGTTTGACGGGCCTACAATGACTCATTGACTCTGTCGATTCCAGAGTTCAGTTAATAGCTTGTTCTTTTTATTTAGTTGCTGTTCACAGACGAAGCTATTTGTGGAGAAGTACTTCCTCTTTCATTGGCGGAGATTATGGAATTGGAGCCCCACATCGGACCTTGAAGGGTTCTCAAAAAAAAAAAGACCCGAGCTCTTCGGAAAACTTGCTAAAGATGTAGAGTGCATGCTTTTTTACACGGAGTCTCGGAGATGCCACATCAGTGCTTACTGTGTCCATTCAGAACCAAACTACAGGTAAGCTTTCAAAGCACTAGATAGAAAAACACCAAAATGATCCAGGCTTTATTGTTCAGTGTCGGTTTTGTTTTTAAAGATGACAATTGTGCCATTAAAATTGTGATGTATAAAAACAATAATTATATTAATAAAAAAACAAATCATCTCAGAATGCTAGGCCACGGGACTAAATTTACAGGATTGTCTAGGCCACGGGACTAAATTTACAGGATTGTCTAAGGATCACTGAACAATCTAAAATGCAAAGGTAAAAGGCAAACCCTCAAATGAGTATGATTTGTCCTTTTTTGCAGACGGACTTTAACCATGCAGCTACAGGTTTGGCTGGAGACAGAAAGCAGGCTAAACAAAAGGGTGAAACATCTCAAGCTAGTCAAGGCCATTGAGGTGCATGTACTAACAGGCAAATAACTGTGGTGTGGTCATATTTAAATGGTCTGGTTAAAAACTGGGTAGATGTACAGTTACCTGATGATGGAGTTGAGGGCAGTCATTGTCACCTACCTTCGTCCGACTCAGAGGCTGTATACCGCTCCACATACTGCGGCATCATTTCCATTCATGTATAGCTGTTTATAAATCCTGATTCCTCAGGAAGCTAGTAGTAGTAGAACATGTCTGTTAATCTAAGGCCCCTTAGTCCACTCATCAGTTACACTGTTTGATTGGTTAAAGCATGCAGAGAATGAGATCTCTTTCTTTCAAGAGCCCAACTTTCAAATATAACAGCAGCTTAGAAGAGAGAACTAGAAATGGAGTGGAACTGAGCTTTAATCTGTTCCTACACTTTCCTAAACTATCCAACTATCTAGTAATAGGTTTGCAGTTCCCCAATCGGTGCACATTATATGACCAACTGTGGTACCACCAACATTGACCTGTATAGCTTAGTTGGCTGGAGCACTGGTACAGTACAATTTGTGAGATTCAGATTCAAACCTCCCTCATTCACTGTTTTTATTTGACTTTAAAAGGCGCCATATATCACAGCATGCAAAATGTAATATGCTTTATTGGTAAATAGTCAATACATTTTTCCCATGTACTGTTATCCTACTTATAACAAGAACAGGTTTGGGTTCTAAGTATTTTTCATTCATGCCACTACAAGGTTCCTCTGATAACAAGATACTCTGATAACAAGATACCAATGAAATGCACCATCCTCTTCCTTTAACATTTAAAACATGCCAGTGAACCAAGACTTGAAGTGTTGGTCGACAAAATCAAAATGCAGTGGAATACACAACTCCTTATTTTGGCTATCCTAGTTGAAGTTTCTTATATTAAAGAAATCATGTGATTGTATTTCATTGTATACAAGAAATAAAATGTGGTTTGTATTTTTCGATAACAGAAGTGCTTCACATGTGTGACTTTAAGACTCCTTTGATGTGTTCATCATATAGGGATAGTAAACAGATGCAAGAGGAATCAACCAGCACCTTTGGTATATTGCACCTCAAGTGTTCTTAATCTTGTGCAGGTAAAGAAGTGCGACTAGAGTCAACTAGCACGAGGTGCAAATACAGTACCTCAAGTGTTCACGTTTTGGGGTCAAATATATGATATTCATTACGTGCTGGTAAACAAGTGCTAGTGCAGTTAACCAGCACCTAGTGTGCACAGTAGCACCTCAAGTGTTTATGATTTTGGGACAAATAAGTGCTAGTCAGGACGTGCTAGTGAATATATGCCAGTCCAGTAAACTATAGCACTCAAGGTGAATGGTACTACCTCAAGTGTTCATGATTTTGGGAAAAACAGGTGCTAGTCAGCATGTGCTGGTGAACATGTGCTAGTGAGGTTAACTAGCACATGAGGTACATCAAATAATTGCCTCAAGCGTTCATGATTTGGGACAAATATCCCCTAGTCCACAAGTGCATGATACATAGTGAATTTTTACAGAGCACGTTTTTGTACTGCTGACTATTATCGAGTTTGATGAGTGAGCAATCCTCAATGTCGACCGAGAATTACTACTGACTAAATTTTCCCTTTCGTTTGATTACAAATATACCCTAGAGTGAAAATATCAAATAACATTTCACACAATTTCTTCAGTTTAAACACCAATCATTTGACATGGACTCAAAGGAGCAGTTTTTCTGAACAGTGATTTTTAACTTTGAACATGTTTTCAAGCCAACCTTTGGGTAACTTTCCGATGTTTGATCTTTATCAAAGTGATTGCCAACCAAAACCTAAATACAAGAATTATTCAAGGTGGATGACGTCATCATCAGATTTATTATCTATTTTTTAACATTTATTTCAGGCTATTGACTTTGCACACATTTTCAAGCCACCTTTTTGGTTACTTTGCGATGTTTGATCATCATCAAATTTACTGCCAACAAAGACCTCGAAAAAAGAATTTTGCGAAATTTATGACGTTACGATGACGTCATCACCTAAGTTTTAATTGATTTTGGATTTTTGTGTTTACGTTGGGTTGATTTCGTCACGGGGAAGAAAGGCACAGCAGGCAAGTAAGCTGGCATCGATGTGGCCCTGGAATGCATTAAAATGAGTTTTGATGACGTGTAGAAAATGCAAAACATTATACATTAATCTCTAAGATGTTAACCATTGCAAATTATCAGCGCAGTCCGTCTTATATTATGTTCATAATTAGTGACATGCCACCTTCAACTGGAAGCTTTCAAGTGTAATCAGCACTCACCCAAGCTTTTTAAGTGTAGAATTGACAGAAAACAAAGCACTCCCATTTCAAAGCCTACAGGTTTGTTTGTCAGATGTAAGCAAGCTTTTTGGCATATTTTACACATTTTAAAATTGATTGTTCTTTTTGTCAAAAATTTGAATATTTTTTTACACAAATGAAAATTAAGGGTTTAAGAACTTACTTTTATTTTCAGTTTGTAACTCTGTGCGTTTTCTGTGTAGGCTTACACTGTACCTCAGTCTATTTATCGGAGAGAATTTAGATGTGGTGGGGTGATGCAAAATAAATTTCAAATGAATCGCAACGCGGCTGTTAGTGTGTATCAATGTCAGATGGGTGACTGGAGGGTTTTATGTCCAAAATGCCCCTGTGCTCTGCAACATCTGAATTACTCGGTTCTCTTATAGAGAAACACTGTTGAAGCATAAATTATACATGGGAATAAGTTGTAAATATCCCACAACATACACGTACGCTTGTCACAAGGCCTTGCCCAATTCTGAACATAAACATCCATGGCCCATTCGTAATCCAATAGAAATAACTGAGCTGAAGGTCAAAATGTGAGCCCCTCAATCCTCTTGATCAGCCTGGCATTTACCTGAATGTCCAGATCTTACCGTGAGGGCACAATAAGTGGTCCGTAGAGAGAACTGTTCTGATTTGAACAAACCTTGTCTTTCAAATTTCTCACGGAACAATTAATTTAAGATCATTTAAGATCACGACATGCCTACATAGTTGAATTCTTTTTTTACAGCCAACTTCTCAAGATCACGTCTAACGGAGGTAAGAATTGTATGGATCATAGAGTTATAGCTCTGTGGTATGAATGATAACAGGGTTGTGTTACATTTGAAAAAATTATGATATCATGATGATGTCACAACCTAGTTTGTGATTTTTTTCGCTTTCTCTTCTTTGACATTCTTTACAATGTACCTCTTCAGGAAAACAAAAATCATTTTTCAAGGCCCTAAAATGACAGTTGAACTGATGTGAGGATGACGCCATTAGTTGACAACTCACGTGACATTAAAGGTACATTCCATCCTTTAAAACCCTATATCTCATGAAATGCATGTCCAGTTGGGTTGACACTTCGCACATACCGTTGATAGAAGGGGAAGTGTTACAGTCCTAAATTGGTATCATGGATGATGACGTCTTCAGGTGATAGGCCAAGTGACATTAAATGTGCACCCTTCAAAGCACTGTATCTTCTGAACTTGACACAAACGACTGTCTTCCGACTTTGCACATAGCTAGAAAGGGAAGAGAACTAGGCGAACATTTACATTATGTGATGATGTAAATTTTCTGATATTACAGGTGCACCTTTCAAAGCATCTTATCTCCTAAGTACACGCCCGACTGAAACTGAACTTTAAGTAGCAGCTGGAAGTAGCTAGAAATGGAAGTGCATGCACATGCATTATACCCCATAATTAACATGAAGTGTTGTTGACGTCATTAAGTGACAAGTCACCTGACATACGTCAAGATGACACAAATTGTAAAGTTTGAAAAAATTTTTCTTCTCGGAATTAAACAGCTCGCAAAACGTACAAATGATATTTAGAAAAGGCTCTGAATCCGAAGCAGCAGTTCACAACCACATTCCTCTATTTTGTTTTTATGATTGTTATTGACCATTCCCATATCCTACGACATGTATTGGCATAGAAGGTCACGGATTGCTGAAATATCATCCTCGGTGGTGAGAAATTCCCAGTCAACATGTACATTTTCCCCATTTTTAATAAGGGGTTTCATGTTTATTTAGTATCTTGTGGTTAATTACTTTGTGTTTTGATAGTTGCGCTGGATCTTTTGGAACACAAAGTGAACCATTCTTTCACTTAATTTCTACTGACAGCAACCTATAGTTTTGCCATCCACTCGTTGGCAAAAAGGCGACTGTAACGTATACAGAAAAAGTTGACACCGTTGACGCTTTCATAGGTAGCATTTTTACCCCAATTGAGAGCGCAAAATATCAGTGAGAGCAGGAATTTTCATTGAACAGAACTTGAGAACTTGCGATGACATTGAGCTCTGTGCTAGATAGCAACTTTCTTAATAATGTCTAAGGCCGTGTCCGAATCACTTGGCTACGGCGGGAATTTATACACGACTTAATGTGAACTGGCCGTGATTTCCAGCCGTAGCCAAGTGATTCGGACTCAACCTAACTCAAAGCTTTGATTCAACTGCACTCTTCACGCCCTCACTAGATGAAAATAATTCTTACAAATGTAATTATATAAATGAGCAATACAAAGGTTAGCGTGCGCGTTGTGTGCATACGCCTTTATATGAGGTAGCAGGTAACCACCCAAAATGCTTTGGAGTATCTGTAGGCCTATTCTTCCTTCACAAAAATGTTGTGAAAGTCATTGGCCTATCTCACAGGCAAGCAAGGCTTTGTGTATGAGGAAAGAGTTCGGGAAAAAAGGTCCAAAAATGCACTCTTAGGACCTCCTGAGTTCATCATTATGCCACCACAAGAAATTTCCCACGCCGCGGTTGACTTCATAACTGATGAACTGTTTCACAAGGCCACGGATTGGCATTGCACAAAAGAACATGGATAATTCAACTTGTTCTGGGAAATGTTCTGAAATGACGCATAAGAATAAAAAATCGTAACACAGACTGCGCTCTGCATGGTTTCGAAGGCCTTTCACGCAGCGCACCTAACTTGGCGAACGTGTTGCAGCACGCTACAAATATTTGCCCCAAGCTTTTGCATGGGATCCAAATAGCCAGATATTTTGTTCGGTGCCTAGACTTCGAAGCTTCAGGGCTGGCGCATGTGGCTCAAACTTAACGATTTTGATAATTTTTGATAAATTTACCTGTTTCATTAATTGCTTTATTTCATAATATTACTGTGAAGCGCATCGAGATGTGCTATGTGATGCGCTATATAAGAAATGTGTTATTATTATTATTATTAATTTTTCGCAGAAACAAGAGAAGGCATGACAGGTTTTTCGTACACGATATATAAAAGAACCCAAAAGCACAATCGCACGGGGAAAAATGTCAGTGTTTACAAAATAAAAAGTACGAACTGATGCCCACAATCGAAGGTATATATTTTTCCGTGTTATTTTACATTTATCGAATCATTACATAAATTTTCATGTATAACGCCAGGGTTGGTTTAACTTTACATGACAATAAATTTATAGTCTTTGTTTTGTTGCCGTCATGTTACTGGTGTGCCCCAAATGTTTGACACAGAACAAGCTGTCAGTGTGACTGAGAATTAAGCTTACTATTAACTTCCCAACAGACCTTAATTGCGGGGAAACCGTTTTTCTCAAATTTGTTACCAGAATATACATGTAATCAGTTTAATATGTTAAATGGGATGGTGCCAGATTATTGTGGGATCCATGCCTCGATCACTTTCATTCAGATTTTAAATTCTTCACTGGCATAATTGTCATCATTAATTCGTAACGAAGTTTAATATTAGTGCTTTCGTTTTTACTCTCAGGTGCCGAGATAAAAAGGTTTTCAGTTCAATATGGCCGACTTGTGAATAAGGCGAATTCTAAACTGTGTGACATTCACTCCAATCACTCATAATGTGGGCATCAAGAGGGCTGACAAAACATACTTTAGAAGTCGTGCATCTATACTGCCATGTGATAGTCCTATGAACCGTTTCCAAATTATGTTCTCGTATTGTGCAAGTTATCTTATCTCCCCCGAGGTATTTCCAACCCAGTCCCTGGCACAGAAATACGTGTATGTACAACATTGTGTCCACTGTTCACTGACCCCAGTTAAAAATAAATCGGCTCAAACAAATGGAGTTGCATATTTTCGGATGACTTCACAACTTGTAACCGAACACATTCCATTGCGAGACAGAGGTACCACGTGCACAAGCACCCACGTCTATGCCACCTCGCGGTCCTGAATTCTTGACTTTAATCAGTTTATAAGTGGGAAAATAAAGTGGATACTTACACATTTTGCCTGGCCGGGCTCACCACATAACTTTCGGATGTTCTTTCTCGCCTGAAGTCTTTAGGTCCCGCGCACTGGCTGCAGAAAGCTCAATGTGGAAATATGAGAGATTCAGGAATCGACGTGTTGAAATATTTCAACTGAAACGTCGCCCTCATTTACAGCCTACACACTAATCCGATTAGACATTGTAACTGCAGTGGCGCCAAACTCCCACATGCACATTCTTCAGGTTGGCAAATCATGACCCCTCTTTGTCAGAGACGCATGTAACGCTCGCGAACCACCCGTCCACGAGCGTTACATTCTTGCATTCGCGTTGTATTTTCAATTGTGAGTTTTTTTAATGCATGAATGAGATGTTGGAGGATGTTTGCGCTTAGAATGTTTCTTACAAATCCAACAAACGTCTCCAAACGGAAGATGGGATCGTATGAATTGCCACCATTGCTCCATTTTTTATGCAGTGAGCAACAAACAGCTCGATAAAGTTCTTGTAAAAACAAGTTCGGAATTTCAAGAGCGCAAGCACACACACGGGGACACAGCCACGGATGGGGGGGGGGGTTCGAAACCCCTTCCCCCTGCTCCAAGCCAATAAAAAAAACATTGTTTTATACTGTTGACTGGGAAATGGCCCAGAACGTCTGGCGCCCATGTTTACTGGAAACCGACTAGGAAAAAAATCACTGAAGGACACGTTTCTGCTCCAAAGAACACAGACTCGTCAGTTTATTCTGCAAACACAAAAACAGTGAACTGCATCAGTACTTAACGTTGTCGAGACAACTGTAATCAATTTTTCTAAAATTCAAAATGGAACTTTGGGAAACTTTTAGAAACTCTAATAATTATATCCAGAACATCGCAACCTGTATTTTGAAACATCCCCGGCCCTGGCTCTCCATTAGGAAAAGAGTAAGACACAATTCCACTTCAATCGTTCCTCATTCTTTTTTTTATGCAGTGAGCTACATACAGCTCGATAAAGTTCTCGTATTAATATAGGCCGACAATTTCTAAAGGGGGCAGTTACTTCAAAGAAAAATTGATATAAAAATCCAGTGTCATGAACACACACTGCTTGCTGTCTATGCAATCTGGACGACAGCTTTTCCTTGTACAGGTTTCTAGCCGTTCATTTTTCCAACTTGACGCTTCTCACTCCAGCTTTTGAGGAGAAATTTCTGGCCCATGCTTTACTTTTTATACCATACACACGTACATGTAAGGACACTGCTATTTGCCTGTTTGTAACCACTCATTAACTGGATCTCATTTAAGTCTAAACCTTGGATGCCTCTTTTTGTACGGACACAGGTGGAAACAGAGGAAACAAATTACTGGTGTCCAGATGTTGGCCGATTCTCACTTCACCCAATATTTCGTGTGGATCCTGTCGTGTTTGTTAAAACGACACTGTGCTGTATCTCCAAGAAAAGAAAGAGGGTAAACTTGGTCAACATTTTGTTTTTTAATGACATATTTTGCTTCTCAACGATTAAACAAATCGAAAATCATTGAAATGTCTTTTGGCATCTTAAAAACTCAAATACTCCACTTCTTTCACAACACTTCCATGAAATACCGATGACAGAAACACTGATAGTGCAATTGGTTTGATGGTATTCGTATGGTTCGTAAATAGCCTGACTCAAGATCACTGTCGTTGCAGTCAAGCATCTAGGAGCTGATGTATCCTTTTTACAGCTATACAGTGCACGTGTGACAAACTGGATAGATACGTGCTTGTGAGGAGTAGACTGAACATTTAGTTGTGTCATCTTTAATGAGGCGAAGCTCCAATCAGTGACAGCACAGCTGTCCATGGAGGCCTTCGGATTTACAACAAAGGCTTACAGGGGCAACCCAAGCAGCCACCAAACGGCCCACATCTGGAGAGAGGAGACTTGCATGAGAAGCTGTTCTAGTTTTAGAGGTGGGGGGAAAAGCCCAGGAAAATATTCTGGGTAAAACCCTTAGAATCAGGTACGGACTGAAAACCCAATCTTCATGTGGACTGAGTCGGGAATTGAACCCGGGCCACAGAGGTGAAAGGCAAGGAAAGAACAACTTTCTTAAAAACTCAACTCCCCAAAGTCAGGTTGTTGAACAGGAGTCATTCGGTTTTACTGTGACACACTGGAACATTTCCCAATGACGCAGATGCATGCCACTCACAGATTAGGTACAAGGTATAAACAGATATCTTCCAATATACGTGACCAGCTCTAGCAAAACACTAGGGGTGAAAATTCAAAATTGGGGTTAGGGATCACTGTCGTGTACGTATAAACAAACTTTCATTGGATGTGCGTTTGAGGAAGTTTGGATAAAATCTGACAAAGACATGGATTTTGAAATTACAATCGAAATGGAATTTTAATGTTGCAGAACCATACAGTGTAATGGACAATGGTAAGAAGCATCAGGTTCTGCCAGAGTCGGTCACTTTCAGGTCAACTGCTTCGAAAGTGGGCAACACAGAGGTCAACAAACTCATTCCTCAGACAATAATTACATTTCTGATTACACAACTTTTTTTTTTTACATGAGCTAGTGTCTGAGCATCAAATGTAAACAGAATCTTTTTCGATGCAATGTCTAGAATCGGATTTTTCCAGCAAGGATGTCCTCATGTATGCTGGGCGTCAGGGGAACGAACTCCTTGCCATTCATGTAAAAGAGCTTGTCCTCGCCGACCTTCCTTGGGTCAAAGTTCTCCTTCCGCAGGTCAACCTTTTTCAACTTGAAAGTGCCTGTGAACGCATAACGGAAAGAATGGACGTGACAAACTCGGGAAAAGTGAGTGGGGAAGTCCACCTCTAGGACTAGTCCAATGAAAAAAGATATCAATCCATCCCCAAACACACATGGTCCCATTATTTGCCTAATGTGGACATTCCTTTGGTGCAAATTCTTAAAAATACTAATTCTTCTTGCAATGTGAACACTCCACAAATTTTTTTTTGGGGGGGGGAGGTGATGACTTCCTAGACTTCTTCTCTCTTTTGCTACCGTTAACCCTAACCAAAAAATGCGTCTAAAACTGTTTTTCCAGAAAGGAGGTAACCTTTGTTATCTTTTTCCACACAAGGTTACCACAACCTTATCTGAACCTCTGTTCTTCATGGGCGCACACTAGGTAAGGTTGGGACAAAACCAGCAAATTTAGGGTACAACAAACCTGTAGTGTCGACTTCTCGCGTGACACGGATGAATAGAGGTCGAGCATATGGCGGCAGCGACGACTTGAGACTCTGGTTCAATTGGACTAGATCCAGGGTCCCTTCGGTGTCCACAATGGCAACCATACCAGCCCTGCCTTCAATTCCTAAAAAAAATAAAGGAAAAAAAGGAACAAAAAACAACAACAAAACAAGATTAGATCTGAAAGTCTTCAGTTTTCAATCTCTTATCTTCAGTTTTTGCACTTCATATGATCAATGTGATTATATCATGGTTTAATATAAATCACTTCTGCCTGTTAACCACTTCATGCCGGGGCATTTTTCAATGTTGATGATGCTGGGCCGGCATGACTATCATTTTTTTCTGTTTTCAAAATCTTTCAAAAATTCATCATTTCATTTAATGGTCGTTTACAGCCACACAAAGTAAAGTTAGGCACTACTCTAAGTTGACAGGTGACCTTCATTGACGCCCGAGGGTTTCAGCCAGGCCTGCAGCCTTATAAACAAAGCCCAGATTGTGCAGTGTTGTATAACTGTCTTTTGTTCACGAACCTGGCTCAGTGCACTGCTGACCTCTTTTCAATAGGGGCCAGATTAGCATGCAGCGGTGCTGTGTGGCTCATAGCTGCGGTGGTGGAGCGCTTTTGTCCCCGGTGGTAATCTGCTGGCTCTCAATGCCCCAAACACTGGTATACGGTTTCAAAACAAGGCTGGATTATCGCCACTTTTGAGAGTGAAAAATGTCGGTAATGCCCAGCAGAATGGTCTTTTGTTCGGAGTACCGTCTTTTGTTACAGGGCCCTGTTTCCTTTGTCCGAGTTCGGAGACCCCTGCCACGCACATAAACCATACGTCTCCGATTCCGGAGTCCCCGGCAGGAAGTGGTTAAATCACTAAGGTCCTTGATATCACTGATGACAAGGTCTTCATGCCACAGAGGACCGGGTCCTCATGTCACTGAGGACAAGGTTCAGGAACTAGATTAGTGAAGTCCAACATTCGATTGCAATAGCTACAGCTGTGGAGTCTTCAGTGGCACATCAAAGCAGCTTGAAGGAATTCTACATTGACTGAAAGAAACTCTACTGCTGTTCTCTGACTTGAGGCCTGATAACAGTTCATTGGGCATGACATTACCCGGTATCTCAACACCGTACACCACGGCATCGCTCAGTTGCACATGCTTCTGGATGGTGCCCTCAACCTCCGATGTCGAGACGTTCTCCCCACGCCAGCGGAAAGTGTCCCCTGAGCGATCCCTGAAGAACATGTAGCCATCCTGATCCATGACCAAAATGTCTCCTGTGAAAGAAGTGAGCTGAAAATAAACGTCGGTGCTGAAACTTGAGGATAAGCGACGAGCACTGAGCTGGACCAAGAGAGGGCACTATTTTCTTAGCAATGGAGGCTCCTTTGGTCAGAACTGCACTTCGCTGGCTCAAAAAACGACTATGAAATGCACTGTGATGGTCACATCGCTACCAACAAACTGAACACTCCCAACCAATGGGGCTCTTTTCAACAAATGAGGGGGTGCTTCTGCTTGAGGTGGATACCCAAGCACAGGGATGCTGCAATAAAAGCAATAGCATACTGTGACTTTCCAGGGCTAGCTACCAAGGCATATGCTCTCTCCCAAATAGCTCTGATGATGTGAATCTTGCACTTGGTTTTTCTATCTACCTTGAGCAGAAGCAACCCCTTCGTAGGTTGAAAAGAGACGCATTGGTGGGGAGCATTCATTTTGTTGCAATGCCACATGACCGTAACATGCATGTCATAGCTGTCTGCCAACCAGCAAAGTGCAGTTCCCACTAAATGAGCCTCTATTGGCAGGAAAATCACGCCCTCTCTGGGTCTCGTTTGGGGCAGATTCAATGTGAAAAAATATCGAGGCATGAATGATTAGGCCTACACAACGATAAAAGCTTCTACAACACTGGGATAAAAAATCCTAACACCCGGAGAAATCACAGCCTGCAGTGAACAATTCATGAGCAAGTTGATGTAAAGAAAACACCAGGAAATAGTAAGTGGCACACCGACAGCGACCTAATCAGCCAACGCGTCAAACAGACAAAAAAACTCCATTCCCTTTTCTCCTCATCTGCACAGGCCTTTGAGAAAGTCCTGCCAGCTACATACGGCAGACCAACCACTGCCCTTATTGAACTCAATTCCTCTGAAGTCCCGTCACCCCCCCCGGTGCCCCCTTCCCCAATACCTTGTGGTATTCAAGGTTCTGTCACAGCCTAAGGCTTACACCGTGCCAGCCCTACGCGACAAATGTTCGATTTTACCCGACAGAAAGGCTTGGTCTCCCTTCCTGAAGACGTCATAGATGATCTTCTTGTCGGTGGCTTGCTTGCTGACGTAGCCGTCAAAGTTGGCAATGGGATTGCCAACTTTAATCTTGCCAATCATGTGGCCGCTCTCACCTGTTGGAAGGGAGATCACATCAACCAAATTGCAATATCAATCCTATTTGTTACCCAGCCAGTTTTTCCCCAGTATTCATAATCATTCTACTCAAAAAGCCTGATAAAACAGAAATTGTAACAACGTACTCCCAATAATAATGAAGCCTGCAACTTCTGAGGAAATCCCAATCTTTACAAGACTTTGTACCGTACAGTGTTTCTCACTTTTCCATGGCAAGAGTGTGAAGTGAAAATCGAGGTCATCAGCTGCTCCGAGGAAACGTGGCATGACTGAGTAATTTATTTTGTGCGTGTCAGAAATGCATTGAGGCAACTTTCTACCGTTATTTTACATCGCAACAGCTGGATCAATAAAACCCTTCTGCTGGGCAGCAGACAAATTATTGACAAGGACAGGACTGGGTCAGTAGAAATGTCACTGTGGCACACTGGTATAATGTTGTTGTAGCCAGCGCTGAAGAGCACACTGGAAGCGGCGAGTGACACCTCAAAAGTGACAATCCTCACATCTTGGGGAAAGGAGGGGGGGAGGGAAAGTTTCAAAGCGCAAGAGAAATAAAACACCTGGTTTGCACTGGATGCAGAGGCCATCCGGACCCCGTATCACCTCCCCGGTGCCTTCGTCCACCTTCAGCAGGCTGAGGGGTAGGGCGCTGGGTACCAACAGCGAGACGAAGCCCACGGCTCCTGGTTTGCCCGTGATGTTCACTATGTTGCTGTTGCCCTCCGTGGATCCATAGAACTCGCAAATCTGAATTTTGACAAAGGCACAGATGAGATATGGGAAAAACGATGACTAGTTAAACCAGGAGGCAAAACTATTAGGTGTGCATTGACTTCATTGAGAGAGTAAGTTTGCTGACTGTTGCACTTCAAATTAATTAAGAAATCAAAATTCCACGTTGCCTCCCTGTCTCAGCAATCCAGCTCAGCATCCTCAACAGGCCAAATTACAAGCTGCAACAGGTGCCATTATCACTTGCAAACAATCTGAACTTGGTTTAATTTTCTCTGTTGCATCTCAACCTGTTTGATGTTGTAGCGTGACTGGAACTCCTTCCAAATCTGCGGCCGGAGACCATTCCCGAGGGCAGAGCGGACCTTGTGTTGTGTGTCTACTGGCTTGTGGGGCTGAGCCAAAATGTAGCGGCAGATCTCTCCGATGTACTGGACAATCTGCAGGGAGAAAGCACGAAAAAAGAAAAAGACCCCCCCCAAGAAAAAAAAAAAAAAAATTCAGCTTAAAACTCCCAACTATGCAAAGATTTAAAATTGCAAAATGTTCATGAAAGTGATTTTATTCAGGAGCAAGTTTTGTGGGACCTCAAAGTTAGGCTGAATGCAATTAGTTTAGTTGACAGAAAGGTCACCAGAAGAAAAGACCATTTGATAGGTATCACCAAGCTGTACGTAAATGCACAATGTAGTATTCTCCAGTTTTGCAGGCTCCCTAAAACTAGGTCATAGCAGTGAGGGTCAAAAACTTAAGTTTAAGTTAACTTAAAGACCCAGAGGGAAGGGTAATTCTTCTTTCCTGAAAAAGACAACACACCTAACAGCATACCTGCTGCCCCTCCCCCTGGCAATAGCAACGAAAACGGTGAAGTTTCACTATGCTTTCCAAATGCAGATGGACGGATGTTAAGGGGAGCTTTTGTGTAGTCATTAGAACTAAACTGAACTGGCTGAAATAATGTCATGTCTGAATTGGATATCTAGTGGCTATGGCTTTAGTTTTTGTTGCCATGAGCTTAATGCTGTGATAAGGCATAGCCGTGAGCAATGCTCAGCCTACAGGCAAGTCTTGCCTACCGTGGCCTGGTATTTGATGCAGTCGTCCCAGAACCTGCTGGCCGAGAACTTCTTCCTCATGGCCATGGTGGAGCCATTCAAGACCACCTGGCCCATGCCGACGATCCCGCCAGCCGAGTGGTACAGTGGCATGGTGTTGTAGATGATATCGTCAGATCTGAAGTTGTAGGCATATCGAATGCCGTAGGCCATGTACATGAACCTGTTAGTGAAAAGCAATCCAAAAAAAAATGGATTCAAGCAACTTGAATATTTTGTTTTCGAAAGATGGATATTGTATGGAACAAATTATGTAACATGTATGAAACTGACCCAATCTTAGTTCAGGATAGGAGGATTTACAGTACTGAGTGATAGGCTGCCTCACCTGAAAATTGGCAAGATGTGTTCAGTCAATGCAAATGAATGTGTACATGTTCAAACAGCGGTGCGAAACACCATGCAATGTCCTTTAACAGCACAGCCAAAGATGGTTGTGAATTAGGAGAATTCCGGGCAATTCCTACATGTAGTACAAAGTTCACACAGAAACCGGAAAACCAACTTCCATGACTCTTCCACGACTTTCTAGGACTAAAATCTAAATCTTTGCATGGCATTTAACGTCATGCAGATTTAATGTACATGTATGCAAGATGATTTTTACATTCATTGATCCCCCCTCCCCCAAAACGATCCGGTTTGTAGGCCTTTGAAAACTCAAAAATGGAAATGTTTCTGATTTACATGTAATCGGAACAGTTGGCAGGTATGAAGTCAAAACACGTTCAAAGTTGTGTTTAATATAGCAGTTGTACATACTCCTGAAATAAAAGGGGTCACCTGTTAGGGGCACAGCATTTTAGATGGAGTGGGGGGGAGGAGGAGTGGAGCTACCCCTGTATCGTCTCACCTGATCTGCGTAATTCTGGCTGCTTTGGGCAGGCCTGTCGTTCCGGAGGTGTATATGTAGAACAGATTATCTGATATCCAAGCAAATGACCAAAAATCAGTTTTCTCGTTAATGTTGTGGCAAATGCAAATTACAGGTAAACTCAAATTTTAAATAATAAACTTTAATGAAAGACTTCCAAAGGTAAAGCCAGTGAATAAAAACCAAAAGGCATAATAAAGGAAAGAGAGAAGGAAAGATAGGCAATAAACAGTGCATGCATTGACAATCACTTTACAAGATGACACTGAAGCACACATACCTGTGAACTTTCTTCCAAGAACCACTGGGGCTGGAAGTGTGGATGTACTCTTGAGCTCTGGGTCAAGGTTCACGGCAGGAAAGCCTGCGTCTATGTATCCCCCGGTGCAGTAGAAAGGGATATTGCGCCCGAACTCTGACCTCACGTCCCTAATGGCTGCAACGAGAGGTTGATGATTGTGATTAAAATCAACAGGGTGACATAAACAAAATGCAAGGCAATATGGGCAAATGCAGGCTTGGGCGTCATGTTCATTTCTGAAAGATTTCAATCAAAAAGATACATGTACTGGTACCTGTTCTCTTTGATTTTCCACTTCAATCAAAGCACAACCATTTTAACACAAGCATGTTACATGCATATATACATGTACATGTACATATTATGTACATGTTCATGCACAAATGGACATGTACATGTATGTTCATGTACAAATGGACATACATGTACAAATGGACATGTTCATGTACAAATGGACATGTACATGTATGTACATGTACAAATGGACAGGTTCATGTACAAATGGACATGTAAACTGTACATTTTCATGTACAAAAGACATTCTGTACATGTACATTGTAGTTGGCGCACGAAACAGCACGTAAATGTACATTTACATGCTCCGTAATTTTCGGAATTTCAGCTGCGGCTTATACGTTGATTCTCACACTGAAAAATGTTGCTGCGGCTTATACGTTGATTCTCACACTGAAAAATGTTGCTGCGGCTTATACCTTGATTCTCACACTGACAAATGTTGCCACGGCTTATACGTTGATTCTCACACTAAAAAATGCTGCCGCGGCTTATACCTTGATTCTCACACTAAAAAATGCTGCCGCGGCTTATACGTTGATTCTCACACTGAAAAATGTTGCCGCGGCTTATACGTTGATTTTCACACTGAAAAATGTTGCCGCGGCTTATACCTTGATTCTCACACTGCAAAATGTTGCTGCGGCTTATACGTTGATTCTCACACTGAAAAATGTAACCGCGGCTTATACGTTGATTCTCACACTGCAAAATGTTGCTGCAGCTTATACGTTGATTCTCACACTGACAAATGTTGCCGCGGCTTATACCTTGATTCTCACACTGACAAATGTTGCTGCGGCTCATACGTTGATTCTGACTTTGATTACATGCTTGGAGTTACATGTTCCAAAATTTTATTGTACATGTACGTCCCGATCGCGTAACTTTTTTGCATGCTGGCCACTGGAAAAAGGCAAAAGCCCATGTACACTCCACATAGGAAAACCATCCAGTCCGCAAGATATGTTAAATTAGAGGACTTAGATTCACTTTTTATGATGACACTTGTTCACATTTTGCATACAATTTTTAGGATTGCACATGTGGTGGAACCATTGACGGACTGGACATGCTGTACAGGTGCTCCAGCATGCACAATGATGACCATCATGGTTGGATCATCAGCACTACGGTGCTCCTTACATGTACATGGCAGTGCGGCTTATGTATCAACTTTAAGTCTTAATTTGCCGATTTTTGCGTGCTGCGGCTTACAAATCGGGTGGCTCATACAGTATGCCAAAAATTACCTGTACAGTACAAGTATACATGTACTTATAGGTACACCATGAATTTTTTACATTGATGGGAATCCTGAATTTGTCAACGCAGACTATCTAACAGTGACCTGTTCACTTGAACAGTAGAGGACAATAGGATAGGTGAAGTCAGCCTGTGCGCACACTGTCAGGCTTTGGAAAAGGTACCTGAATACAGTGTGGGTGTACAAAAAAACCAGGGCCACAGGAGGTCCACAGTTGAAGGCCTTTATGTACATTGTACATTTACTGGTAACAAGAGAAGTGTGTATAGTACATGTAAATACAAATCACAAACTGTAATACCAGATTACCACGAATCTCACTCCAAAAGTTTGAACAATTCTCTTCACCTCTTGTGCTACCAGTACCTTCAGAAAAAAATCAGGAAAACTAAAATAAAACTGAATGTACATGTGACATCCTGGTACATGTGCATGCACCGGAACGTACACTAGTCTTTTCATAGATTGCCATATGAACAAGCAGAGAGGGGAATTTCCAAGCAAATTCCTGAATCGAAAGTGGAACAAGAGGCAAACTGCAGACAGAATGCAAGGGCAAGATTGAATGAAAAGAAAATATCAGGAAAGAATCCTGAGGATTAGAAGGCCCTACAGCAGCATAGGGTCAGTGACACACGTGTCGTTTGCCTGAGGGCATACAGGTACCTTACAATACCAATTTCCTGTGTTTTCTACATGTATATCAAATGTTATATGTGAAAACACCTCAAATCCTGATACAAAAATCTGAAGAATTCGTCAGGGAAAAACACTGAGAAATCTCAACCCTGAGAATGAGAAGGAAAACCTACATGTAGATTTGTGGTTAAGAAGTTGAAAAGTTTACTATACGGTATTGCCTCAACTGGGAACATGTTTTTCTCATTTCAACTTGATTCCATGCATGAACTGATGTACAGTACTGGTATATATGTACATGTATGCACGGATTTGTGACGAAAATTTGCAACGATGTGGATCTGTACTGTACACGTACATTTGAGTGAGTGAGGCTTTAAAGAAAAAGGTTGTGTAGATTCTTTCTAGACAAAAGCCCTTGTTTATTACAAAAGAAAAAAATGTACATGTAACTGCTAATAAATTTGGAACAATCAGTACATCAACGCTGTAATACTGTGTTCAAATAACAGAATTCATTAGGCCAAACAAATTAATAGTTGTGTTTCCTATTACATTGAAAAAAAAAACCAGATTGGATACGTGGGTAGTATTTTTTTTCCTTCTCAAGTTTTGGGTCAAAACTTTTAGGGTTGAACTTTTTTTTGCATGGTTGGGGGTCCTAAATCAAAGAGTGATTTGGTTCTAGCAAACGTGTTTACAAAGTTGGTATCGATTTTTGGATGCGGAAGTTTGAAACTCATTTCCAAGGCATCACTGTACTAAATAACCTCATAATACGTGGGAGTGCATTTCCCCAATTCTAAGGGGAACGCTCCTCCTCAGGACAGCCTGCAACATGCTGCCTACCGCCATGATGCTTACAAGCACAACGTGCAAACTTCAAGCACGATGTGCATGATGTGACCAGGGTCGGCCACAGTTTTTTATTTTTCATAAAAAGATTTAGGGTTGGCCCAATTTGCTAGGGTCGGCGGGTAACTGGAAGCACAACTACATTGTATTATATTGTTTGGCCTTACAGACATGACAGAACGTACATGTACATGTATATTAACTTCCATTAGTGAGGGAAGCAATGGACAGCTGGGTCACAAAAAGAGCCTTGAAAATAAATGGCTTCAGGAATCAACCATACCAGCCATGTACTGATACATGTACATGTACCTAATACCTATTAATAAACTACAAACTACAAAGCTGTACAATACATTTACATGTCACACAACCGTTCACGGTACTGTACATGTACACTGTACATGTATGTACATGTACCGTGAATGTACATGTACATGGTACAGTACATATTCTCTCACACAGTAGTTGTGGGGAAATACACGTACATGTACATGTACACTCGACATTTCACCTACATGTACATGTATTTTGTGGGACCCGAAAACGTCGTGGGGACTCAGAAATGTCCCCACAACTCGGTTCGAATTTCTCTAACAAAAGAACTTGTTCCCTGAAACCCGTGAGTGCCTACCCATGTATGTACAGTACAGTACATGTACATGTACAACTGTATACGTGTGTACATGTACATGTACAACTGTATACATGTACATGTACGTGTATGCAAGGACACTTTTTGCATTATATTCTCAAGTAGTCAATGCTGGTTCCACTTTGAAATCAACTAGAATAGAATGGAAATGGGGATGGCAAACAGAAACACAGGGCTTTTTTTTTTCGATTTTATTTTGTTTTTCTTTTTTCCCCCTTCTCTCAATTTCCTTGAACATCCAGCATTACAGCACACGTGGTTTCTATAATATCCATACATGCACTGCACTATTACTCACCGAGGAGTTTTACCGCAACTACAGTGCATGAAATCTCTGACTTGGGAGTACAAAATTTCATGTAACGGTGGTAAATATAAAATGCAACTGAATATTCTCAACAGGAAGACTGAACAGCAAAGCAGTTTTTCACAGACACAAGGAAAATATTTTCTGACACACCGAAATTCCTGATTCAAAAGTTGTTACATACCGTAATGTAATTAAGTCTCTACAGTGTGCATGTACACGTACCTGCTAATGTTCAGCTTTCAAAAGAAGTCAATCTTTTTCAAATAAATCTGGGCCAAAATAAATCAGTAAAATCACAAAGTGCAGTACAGGATTGAGCCTGAAACTTATAAACTAAAGATGCATTCCTCTCCTTTCTTGCAAAAAGTTCGGCAATTGAGTTGCCAGCATAAAGATTTTTCCAGATGACGGACAGAGCACACTGCCCAAAAAGTCACGTAACCCGTTCTATTCAGAACCTATACTCGCAAAAACCTCTGTGTATGTACATGTACATGTATGTAACTTGTTAACACCACACCATGCAAACGTTCTGAATGTATCCAGCATATGTGTACAAGTAAATGTGCAAAGCAGGATGAAGACAAGCTAAGGCCACCTTTTGTTAGTCCACAACCAAAAGTTCAGCTCTCACTCCCGGCCATCAATTGAAAGAACGGCCTTCTGTACATGTACACGTAACAGGACCCAGTGGCAGAAAGGACAACTGTAAAGTATTTCAGTGTTGTGATGAAAGCTGTCCAATGATTGGTTATATTGCAATGAAGCCTGGGTCGAAATTCACATTCACACTGGACTGCTTGAATTATTTCCAGACCAGTAAATCTCATGTATTTCTACTGCAGACTATGACCCTACAATCTGCTGTGGGGGGGGGGAGTTATCTGCTCTACCTGTATACATATACTGTACAGGTAGTACCGGTACATATTTCAAATCAACCTGTCCTGTCATCTGTGATGATCTTATAAAACTACATGTATGTACATGTAAAAATCTATAAAAATTGTCATCCATGGGACCAACGATCTAATGACTAAATTATACATGAAATTCAAATCTTGACAAACAACCACAAAATGCTCAAGCGAGCTGTGAGCAAAGTCATGCCTTCTATTCAACTATTGTATATGCTTCTAATGTACACATCCAATTAGATACGACCACCATACACAGGTGATCTCGGGCCGTCCATTACCACTCCTACGTGTATGCAAAGATGCATTCTCAACAAAGTTGTCCTATCAGTCAAAATCAGTCAAATGACACATGATATGTCTACATGTATGTACTGTACAGAGGAAGTGGAAGGCATTTTTGACGGTTACAGCAAAGGGGGGGTCATGAATTTTAAAAATATACATGTACATGTAACTGCCCACAACAAACCTGTGACAAATGCCCGAAACAGCAGAAGTTCTGATAACCCTAAATAGAAAAGCAAATTTGTGTACAGTATCAGTGCTTGATAGCATTACTCAACCAAGTAAACCAAGAACAGTACCCATTCACACAGCTGTGACTAGTGGTGCGCCTAATTCTCAGCATGTCTAAATGTTTCAGAAGGTCCCACCCCTCTCACAAACTGGTGCATTTGAAGCCAGATATGGGACAGAGAGAACCCCCCCCCTTTGCGTTGTTCATTGTTTGATCATTGTTTGATCGGAATCTCAGGAATTCTTTACAGACTTCTAGGGGGGATGTGTTAGGTAACAATAGTCTAGAGTGTGTGTAGGAATTGGACAGGTAAGGGGGTACCCCTCCATCCCACGTACCTGGTGCCATTGCTATACTGTACACATGTGCGGTGTACAAACATGTTTGTACACATGAATTCATACAAAACTGTGAATGCACTATGTACCCAGTGTGTCCTTGAATTTTGATTCAAGGTTGTGACAAGCACAGTGAGGCAGATACATGTACATGCACACGTACATTGTTCCTGACTGAAAATGACCGGTTTCCAGTTTTGCTTCAGGTGGTTTGTTGAATGTACCCACAACCTTCTCAAATTGCAAAATGTCCTCAGGGCTCGAAAATGGGCTGGCTATCACCAGAGCAAATACATGTACATGTACATGTAGTTGCTCCTGAGAAAACTGAATTTGTCAGTTTACGGGAGCAAGTAGCTCCCACACACCATATATGTTCTAGAAAATTTAACAAATTAAGGCCAAACAAAACGACAGTTGTACTAGCTATACCCTTGCTACATGTACATGTACATGTATACCTGTACATTGAAAAAAAAAAAGTTGACAAAATTAACACACAAAGTGGCTACCTGCTAAAAATGGTTTGTTTTATTCACAATCCAAGAGACAGAAAAAAAAATATATATCATTATGAACAGTTTATGTACATGTACGTTTTATGCAGTATGCACATGTACACGCACATGTATGCCCGGCGAAATGTAGGCCTACATGTACATACGTGTACAGTGCATTAACAAATGGTTGCATTTTAAGAGACATAAGACATGCCATAATCAGGAGGTATCATAGAAATATTTCTATAAATCCCGAATTTGGGACTGATACTGTAATTTCCAGCTTGGAGGATTTATTTTGAAAGTGGCGGAGGCTACCGGTACATGTACATTCAGAGCTGAGTGCATAGTTTTACTACTATTTTGGAGGTACCGTCGGGGGAAAGGCGAATTAAAAATCAAAAATTCGAGACTAACCCCCATAACATTCTGGCCAAAATCTTGAATTTTCAGTGAAAAAAGGGAGGCCAACCTCTTCCCAAGAGTCAACAGGTAATGCTATTTCGGTCTGATTTTGCAATGTTTTCTATGGGCGCATATTTGGTGTAGTGCAACCTGTAACGCGCGAACCAAACACGAAATCACAACCATGACATCGCTGAAGTCACAACTACTGTACCAAGGGCCAATCAGAAAAATCAGTATTGCATATTCATAGTGACATAATGCGTATACACACACCATGCACACTCGGTACGTCATACACGTGGATGCATATTCATGACTTACATGTACCTCTACGATGCAATGCATGAAAGCACGTGCTGATTTAGATCTTGTACGCAGAACCAACGTCAAGTCTTAGCGTTGTCAAGACATACAGTACCAGCCACACATGGTACTACAGTAAATGGCCCACAGTTACACACTGTAAGTGCGATCGCGCCGCAAAGGCGTTGTGGAACAGAAGTTTCAGACTATTTACTGCCGCTGCATTCATAGATTTCAGCATGACTTCTGCTGGGCTGGTGCCAGGGACCGAATTATTCTTGGTTGCAAAAGGTTCTATTTTATTTGGTTCAAATTCCAGCAGCAGTAAGAGGGCATGGATCACAATCAACTATTTCGCCGCATATTTCAGAATATTGTTTTACTAGATCGCCGGACTACCCAGATGAGGGCTTTGGCTAGACTGCCGTGATTTTAAGTCGAATTTTGCCAGCGGACCAGCGTTGAGGTCGAACCCTGCACATAGAGCACATAAAACCTGCACTATGATGCATGACACAATAGCTTTGCATGCCCCAGGCCAGTTGTCACGAAACCCTCTATCGGCAAAAGCGAAAATGTGCTAACCTTATTTCAAGTTGTAAATTCACAGTGACATGTGTGCTACTGTGAGTAATAATGAAGATTGCTAGTCACTACTTCCGCTCATGCAGGAACAGCTGGAATGAGTCCAACAATAAGTCCAACTGTTACATGTACATACATGTATATGAATATTGATGTTTCATTGGCAGCTAATCACAACACAATGACTGGATGGTCCCAGGGTGCTGTTTACACAAAAGGCTGGTGCTTCGAGTTGGCCGCACAGCAGTACACATGTGCATAATGTACATGTGCAGTAGATTCAGTCGCATGCATTTCACAGTTCCAGTGCTGTTCGGTGCCATGCCAATGTGTGGCACGCAAAATGCGTTGTGTGTGTGCCTGCATGCCAACCTGCCGTGCTCGGTGACATCGCTAACAAATTATACTCATGTTGTGGTTACATGACAAGGGCGATCTGAAGTAAACAAACTTCAGGTATTTTTCATGGCAAGAATAGAAACAAACGGGCTTCAATACTCTTTAAACTTGTCCCCTTTACACTAAACACCCCTTTCCACACTAAAATCTCACTCAAATAATTAACAGGTTTCCCCTTTTAAAGTCAGTGCTGTTTATGACACTTGACAGTTTTGACGATCTGATAATGTTGTATTCTAGTCCAGTCCCAAATCCTTTCGCAAGGTCAGTCTCAGGCATGAGGGTGAGCAATGACAAAAGAATGCTTTTGTCACCATGGTCACAGTTCATTTGAATAGCTTGTGAATTGGCTCAAGACTGAATGACTTGTGCTGACATTTGATGCAAACTATGGGACAGAGAGAACCCCTTCCCTCACCTTTGTGTTGGTAATTGTTATACTGGTATCTCAGGACTTCTTTTCAAATATCTAGGGGGATGTGTTAAGTAACATTAGGCTGGAGTGTGCATAGGGATTGGACTTGTTGGGGGGTACCCCTCTGTCCGATTTCGAGCCTGGTATATCTGATGGACTTGCAGGGATTTATGATGGACTCAAACACAACACTAGTCTCGTACAAAATTTCTTTTCTTCTCAACGTTAAACAACATTTTTTCATTGTCTTGTCTTGTGCTTTTGAGGAATTCTTGGTTTCATGAACAGAAATAAACACAAATAATGATACCAGCATGAGACCTACCCTCGGTCAGCTCCGCTCCATAGATCACCGCCTTGGGCTCAGCGACTTTGACACAGTGCACCAGGCTGTCCTGTCTCAGGTTGAAGTTGATCAGTGCCCCCACTGCGCCAATCTTGGACAGGCCTAGCCAGAAGCACGGGAACTCGGGCCGGGTTTCCATAAAGATGGCTACCGTGTCGCCTTTGCGCAGGCCCTTCTCGAAGAAGTAGTTGGCAACGGCGTTGGAGAAGTCATTGGCCTGCCGGAAGGTCCAGACCTCGTCCTCGCAGCGGAAGGCCACCTTGTCTGGGTGGAGCAGGGCACGCCTCTCGAAGACGCTGTGCACAAACTCGCGGTTCTGCTGTCGCCTCCTCAAGGTCAGCCTCAGTCGAACCAATGCAACCAGGGCCCTGGAAATGTTTGAAAGAACACCGTGTGCATTACAGACCTTTTGATTTGCGGGGACTCTCCACCAGAAATGCCAATAACTGCTTGTCCAGACCCTCTGTACTGCATGCCGGACATAAAGTACGGATTAACTATATAGAATACAGGGCCATCCCCCAGAATCAATGGCTACGATGTTGCCGGGAAGAAGTCCAAATCAAGTACCCTGTTGGTGGCTGCGTGGCTATGAATATCGAAAGAGTTTTTGAGAATGAAGCAACACAAATGAATGGAGATGGCCGTAATCCATGGAGATGGTGTAATCCATACTCAACAGTTTGTGCATTCCTACCGTACTCGTGATCACAATTGGTGAAATGTTGGTTTCTGTTTGGAGAAACGTAAAGCATGCACCCCTACTTTTTCCTTACAGTCGCCTATTAACCCACGGAAAGTAACAGCATCCTGAGAGTTCAAACTTAGCAGTATTGACTTATTTCTGTGAGAATTTGCAAGATCAGTCTCATATGGTTCGTGTACAGGGTGTCCAGTGGAAGCTGGACATTATATCAGACTTTTTCCAAGTAAAACTTTTAAAGGTCTTTTCCTGAGGAGTGAGGCTAGTTTGGGTTTCCTTACACTTGAGGAAAGAGAACTGAAACGAGCCAAAAATTGTCTTTTTCTAATCCCCCAAAAGCAGGGCTCTTTTTTGAGGGGGCCTTATCCGCGTAGCTTCCCTCCCCAGACAGAATTCCACATACACATACATGTGTATGGACGCCAATTATTTTCCTTTGCAGTTACATGTACCTGTGCCACGCATGAACCATCTGAAAGCAATAACATGACCTAAGAAGTCAAATTTAGAAGTGAAAATATTGATGTATTTACACAGAAAACACTTTTTTCAGACGGGTAGCTTTCTCCCTTCCTATCAACAATTGATTGCCAAGTTGGCTCATTGCCAGCAAGAGGACAATTTTAGTTATATCAAAACTGGCTACGGACTGGAAATGATAAGGGAATCAAATACTACTAGTTTCTAAATCATTGTAAACTGTACAAAGAGATAGAGGGCAGCATCATAGCAGTGGTGAAAAACATGGAAAAGAAAATTTGTCAAACCTCTCCTCTGCTAGGCCTAATATTTTTAAAACTGAATGACCACACCCCATCAAAATGTGTTTGCCAATATCCAGAGAGGGGCAGAATGCTCTCGGAAGTTGTTTAAGCTTATTTCACAGCCACAACAAGTGTTGACTTAGTCTGTCACGTGCATGTTATGCAACACACATGCTTCCTGTCTCCGGTTGGCACTACACAATTACAAACCGTGTGTGCACTTAAGCTCAACATGGAGAAAACGCGCACAAGCTACAACTTTTACAAACATGATCAAGATGATAAACTTGTGCCAGGCACAATTTTACACATGTCGCAAGTACCCAGTTTTCAGCATGCATGTACTTATGTATTCCTCTATCCATGATTGATGATGCATGGCACGCAAAGTTATTAGGTAATTTACACAGAAGGGGTATAGCTTACTTCGCATCACGTGGAAATGTACGGACCAGAATTTTGGCAAATCTCCAACCGCCCGTTGCCAAATACACCGTCACCACCACAACCCCGACAGTGCGCCATTCCAACTCAAAATAACCCCTCAGAAAGGCTGCCAAGCCACCGAAGATCCCAAGCTTCAACATGGTGCGAAAAGGAGGTAAACTGTGCCAAATACTGTTCAGAAGGCGCGCGGAACGGAACAGGACTCTATCGACGACGATCATCAGATCAAGTGTGGTCAAAAATCACTGTACGTACGTTGTACATGTACATGTACATCGTACCCACCCTCTCCTTGCACGCGCACTGCCCAACTCAAAAATTCAAATTTCGGGATATTGATTGCTGGGTACCCGACTAAATTAACAGGGAATTATTTGTGTCTTCGAGAGGGCGCACCTCACTTCGACGGGGTCAGGGTGTCATTTACGTCCTTTTCCCAAACTTCACGCAAAATTCCCTAGGCCCACGGTTCAGGGGGTTTAGGGCGACATCAGTTGCAGCAGAATTCAACGTTTGACATCAAACTTTTCAAAAATAATGGAAAACGGAAAGACAATGATAATCCTTCCGTCTGCAGAGCATTTTTTAAAGAATATGATTACCATTTTTTTCTCCAATAAAAGTTTCAAAGGCAAGGCAACTTGCTCAATTTGCTGATGGCATCATTTTGATGAAGCCTTGTCTCTTGTGTAGTGAAAAGAAATGGGTCTATGTTGAAACCCTCTAGTGATGAGGAGCATGTTTTTCTTCAAAATATTTCAAAAAAGGAGAATATTTAGGCAAATAAAAAAAACCTCAGGTCCGACAAAAAAATCAGTCATGGAGGCATCGCAAATCATTTCGTTGAAAATAACCGGCTTAGTCGCACCATTGCACTCGCGTTTTGACAGTATAGAGGCTATTTCCAAAAACTGAAATAAATACGACGACTACCGGCCTGTATACAATTACGACCTTCTTCATAAATACGATGATGCCAATTTGAAACCAATTATAAAGTGATCTCAGAAGGCATAGGAGGGTCTAATGTCTCAGACTGAAGTGGAACAGCCTACCCGTTTGGCTGAGTGGTTCACAAAATATCATGGGTAGCTATCTGAGTATGCAACAAAAGAATAATACTCCGTGTTAAAAAGTTCATTTTGAAATTCTTAATTCGAAATGGTACTGCTTAATTTAAAAAGGCACTTCTTTCGAGAACACTTCAGCAACTATATGCGGGGGAAATGCCAATTAACCCGGTAAGGACGCATTTTTTTCCAATCTGCTGAGGTGCCTTCTGCATTTCATAACCACACTAGGGGAATAAATATGGTACAAAAAAGTGTATCTAGTAAGAGCAAGCGAACGCATACAGTCCAGATTACGAAGGGAGACAATTTTTTCTAATGTCCAGGGTTTTCAGAAAATAACCCAGGAAGAAATCTGAATTTGTAAAACTAAAAGTGAATCGAGAACAGAAAGCAAAACAAATAAGAAATAGGGTAAGACAATAACCAAGTTTCCCGAAATGTCTAGAAATTAATCCCGTTTCACCGTATAGTTTCAGTTTGCTCCCAATGAATGCTCCCGCACCAAGCACTGCAGAATCGAAGGCGGATCATGGGGCTTTAAACTGATCATTTGGCCAAAAAGTTCTGTCCGTGCATGATGAACGCACGGTCCATTCCTGAACTCATTATTCGCACTCGATATTCAGATCATCACCAAATATGGACTTTTCAGTTTTCCTTTGCCAAACAAGCTGTAACGAAGAAGCTTTCCATCAGTTTAAGATGCGAATGAACTCAGTCGATTCACGATGGACTAAAAATAAGATGGACTGGATGTTTATCTCAGTCGCCAGGATGGCAACTTGAAGTGAGTCGATTGCTTAATACTTGCGCCCTCTGCCATTGACCACGATAACCCGCCCCTCTGAAGCCCACCTGCTGGGCCTGGGCTGCCCGCTTGCGCTACGCGGTGAACTGAGCGGAGACGATCTATTATGAGTCAGCCGGCATGCACGTCAGAAAATACATGGACAAGTCTTGACGTCAATCGCCAGCCCAGTCTTTGTTGGTAAGCAGTTCAGGGACAATGCGGCAATTGTCCACTTCTTAGTTCTGTAATCCCTCAAACTTCTGTCCTATAAAGGAAGCGGAAAAGACAGGCGATTTCATATATATGTGACCGTGAAATACACCGGCCAGTTGTAGCCAAAGGATTTCCAAAACTCGTCAACGCGTAGGAGCGGCAACAGTGCCCTCCCGTCACTTCCTGTCTGTGGAACGGAGTTTGCTCTGCTCTGGTTAGCATAGTTAATAGGCCTATCCACGGTCAACTTTTCGGGGGGTAAATTTCATGTTCGTCAGTGAATGCCACGTATTTTCTTCGAGTATCGTTGGGATAAAAATATCTGTTGAACAATGTACCGTGTGAACACCCTGAGGGGTCAAGTTCACACATACGCAGCGATTCAGAGTTGAAAGTAGTTGGACGAGAAGCCGGGGGAAATTCTGGAGTTTTCACTGCAGCGTGGAGATGCGACGATGGGATGCGTTGCGTCTGCCGTAGCGCGGGAGAAGAGCAAAGGCAAAGGTAAGCTTTTCTCGGAAATAGTTCCATATACGGAAAAAAAAACTTGATGCTCCTGTACTTTGCACAAACTTATGACACCTGTCTGAGTTAACCTAAGTGTTTCATCAGTAAATGCTTTTTTCTAATTTTCTTAGCTATTTTCAGAAATTTCTAAGTTAAAATTCACTTTTTAGGACATATTAAATCACTTTTTAGCACATATTAAATTACTTTGTGTAGGCTGTTATAACATTTAAGGGGAAATTAGTGTTGTCCATATATAGAACACTTTCCTCTTTTTCTTATCATGTAAACATCCTTGGTTGCTTTAATTTATATTCAGAGATCAACAATTTTACTTCTGAAATGATTTTGTGTACATTGGTTGCCTTGTGGTCATTGCCTATATTTGGACCTGAGACACTTAATAACTTAACATTGGACAGCTGGCCAAGAGTATCGGAAGTGCTCAAGAAACTGTGCTAGCTAGTATTGTAAAACTTTACCTGGTAACTAAAATGGTTCAAAACTCGATTCCTGTGTCCATTTAATTTGTGCATTATCGCTGTTTGCATTTGATCAAGTTGAAGAACAATTTTATTGTTTAATTATTAATTCTTGGTTACAAATATTAACCATTATTTGGTTACAGATATATATCACCAGCTTATAATTGGCAAGAGTTGTTTGTAGAAAAGCTATCAAATAAAAGTATCGCACTATATTGTTTCCAACTTCCAAAATTGTACCTAACTGTTTATGTTGGCTTAAGTGAGCATGTCTGTGTACAAGTCCACTGCAAATATTTCAGTCCTAGGTATTTTACTTTTGCCTATTTGAATACAAGTGCTCAAAATACCATGATTGAAATGCATGGGGTATTAGTTTACTTTAGAGGCCTCTGGTGATAACCTGTGTTGTCAATTTGTCTTGTGGTATTTGTGTTGGCGGGATAGGCTGAACAACGTTTGTATTGGGAGTGTTTTGTTTGCTTGCTGTTGCTAGGATCAAATGGAATCAAATTGCGTGTCTTTTTGATGAAGTCTACATAGGTTTTTATGTTGTCTGAAATTTCTCTCCATTATGCACTATAAGCCAACTTAGAAATTTATCATGGCTCATGTAACTAAACTACCTCATTCTTTAGGTATTTTGTGTGTCTCTTGATTTATAGTGACAATTCAATCTGGACTATCAAGGAATCTGTGGTGTAATAAATGGGGCTGAGATTACTGCTTCTTGAATTTCTCTTAGAGAAATTCCAAATAAAATTGAAACAGTATTTCACACTAAAAAAGTTCCATCCTTTTTCCAGGTATTGCACATCTTTTGAATTAATTGTTGTCACTGTAGAAGATGACATACATGTTGGATAATGTAAATTTCTTATCAGCTGGAAAATTTGTGCAGAGAAATAATGTTGTGTTGTCAGAGCAAGATTCTTTCCTTCTTTCATGGAGGCAGCAGCCTAATTTTTTCCAAGATGTTGGATAGATTTTCTGAATTATGTACATGTAACTGACACCCCTGTGTCTACAGTAAGGAACGTTTGCCCCATCTACAATATTTTAATTTTGCATTTATAGGTATCTTACAACATGTTAAAAACAACAATTCAAAGTGCATTTCATATTTGACAAAGAAAAAATGTGGAACAGGGCAAGACAAAGGGACAAGAAACTCGTCTCATTGTTTTTGTTGGCCAGACCCCTCTTTCGTATATTGAGACTGGATAGTTTAATATCCAATTTGCAACTCTACATTTCATTCACTGACATTTGGAAGTGTGTTGGGCAGTTGTGTACATTATTTTTTTGGTCTCTTTTAAACAGTGCAACCTGTTCCTTCTCCGAAAACTTTAAGAGGGGACCTCATATCACGCAATGAAGCCCGACAACGGAGGAATACAGGCATTGCTGACCACCAAGCAAAAGCTAGTGAACATGCCAAGGTATGTATGTTACCAAGTTAGGTTGAATTCAGTGGAAATTATGATTATGTTATATTTGTTATTCATAAATACCTACGACAGTTTAGCCTTTCCTGTTGGTTGAGAACCTGTCATTGGCTGGCTTATCATGTTCTGCGCCACCTCATCATGCAGTACGTGGAGGTTGGAATGTGACTACTCGAGACAGGCACATGTCATGGCTAAATGGTGGTGTAAGCAAAGGAAGTAAAACTGTGGATCCAAGTCTTTGGCAATTTTTAAAATTGTTAAACTCATTTCAAATTTCTGCCTCAAAAGGTATTTATGAATAAATACACATGTACCAGCCTAGGAGGATGGATGCTGATAATGCCCAAGCCTGTGACTCTGACGATAGCTGTGTCCATTCTTCTGAGCCAGTCTTAAATAAACTGGCCATGCACATATTTCCTTGTACATGTATTCCCTCTTTTGCCGTTTATAAAAACTTTTGCGATTCAGCCATTTTTGCAATGAGCCAATTTTGGACTAAAAGGGACCACAGTATGTCGGCCCAAAATAACAAGTGAATACCGGTCTACTTCACATCACAGAGCCCCAAGATTCATTGGACAGCATTGTGTTTATTTCTTAATTCTTGTAATTTTTTTCCAACGGTGTTGTAAGTAATGAACGTGCACAGGATGGAGAATTCTGATCTTACTGTGTGCCTTTGCCAAATGTAATCCCCAAACAGTACGATTTTAACTCAAGCTGGAAATAACACTGGACTCTTTTTCACAAATCAGTGTCCATGTATATTTACAGTATGTGTTCCAAAGTAATTCCACAACAGAATGAAACCTTCACACCTTGACTTAAACAATTAACAGTTCACCAGTTAATGAGCTACTGTTTGCTTGGCAGACGATCGTCTACAGCACCCTGGCAGAGAAGGAGATGATGTCCACCACCTCAACGGAGCGTTCCTATCGATCTGGGCGGGCCTTCCTAATTAGTGCTGCGGCGAGCATTGCGGCTGAAAATAATGGTACAGGTATGTAATCACTGGATATTTCAGTCAATTAGCAAGGTGCCAAGATGCAAATCATCAGTCATGCAAGTAACTGGTTCTGCATAGACAAACAGCTTGTTTCTAAATCAGACTTAGTTAATTTTATCCACAAGAATATAATATCAAATCAGTGCTCTGAAAAATGTGATTGCCGAGCTTTCAGATAACTGAGTAACCTTCTTGCTTGCCCTGAAGAAGATACTCAGTTACCGAAAGCTCTGGAATCACATATTTCAGAGCACTGATTTGATATTATATTCTTGTCGATATTCTAATCACGGTGCTGCGCAGCCCTTCCATATCTCTCTTAGTTAATTATATGACTGGCAAAGGTATGTGCAGGTTATTCATTCAATCCATGTGGCATTACAAGTCATTACAATGTGTTAATGGGAAAAGACAATGAGAAAAAATGACTTCAATATGTACGTGCTTGTGTGTAATTTTGTTAAATTCTTATTTTTTAATTCAAAGGCATTCAAATTGCCAGTCTTGTATAAAGTCCAAACTGCAAGAGACCAAAGAGACACAAAAAAACCGCAAATGTAGTTACTATTTTCCCTCATTTAGATAATTTTCTTGTGAAATTTCATTAAATGCTTTTGGCTGTACATGTACTCGTAGATGTTAATAGCCCCAAAATGATTGCTAACACATAACGATATTAATGTTTTGTAAAATACATTCACTTGAATTTCATCCACCAGCCATAGGGGCATCAGAAGCCCTTTTTTGTTAGCGCCCTGGGTGTTCTGTGAAAAAGCTTGGTTTTTTCCTACATGTACCTTCACGGTTGATTACATTCCCTCACCTCTGCAGTTTGCAAAGGCATTTTAAAATAAAACCATAATAGAAAAACATTCACCTGAGTAGTTGTTACACAAGTCTTTTTTTTTTGTTAAAGATTATTCTGGTGTGTATTTGTTGTAGCAACTGTGTAGTGTGGAACGTTGCTAACACAAACACCACTATACCGAACATTTGGGTGCACTGAGCATCCCTCTTGGCTGCCAAATTTTTTGTGAACTTTTACCGAACTTTACAGATTTGTAAAAAAAAGAAAAGAAGATATTAAGAACGGATGATAACAACTCAAGGTTGAGGGAAAATCTCACTCACAGTGGAGCAGTGCAGTTTTTTTTTTTATTTTCAAATTTATTGTTGAAAGTGTTGGACCAAAAATCTCGTACGGAACCTTTTGTGTGGTGGACTGCCACACATTGAATATGGACTGGAGTTGGGAACAGGTGCATCCGTGATGACTGAAAATCGTGATACTGAATGACCGCTGTATTAATTAAATATTGTGTGTGGATTCCCATCGTATTCATTATGGCAGCGTTCCTTGTCGTGGGAAAAATATTTACCCCAGCCCCATCAGCAGCATTGGAAATGGGGGAGGGGGAAACACACTATCAGCTGGGGGGGGCACTTCACAAGAACAAGAATTTTGATACTTATGTGGCAGCTTCTGGGGGGAGGAGCCTAGTCCTTCAGTGCCCCTCCCTTGGTGGGTGGTTTGTTTGGGATTTTTGTTTTTGGAGGGGGGCTCAGGCCCATCAGATTTTTTATATCAGACAGGTGGACACATATTATGTACATGTATGTACACTTACGTGTACATGTACAGTGTAGGTTATGTTTGTTACTGTGAACAAATAATGACCCTTACAGAATGTCATTTTGTTACCATTAGTATTCATCTTTTAGAATTTATTCAGGATTCTGAGGATCATCTTTTTTATTATTAGTTAGATTTTGATTTCATTTTATAATTTTGTTTATATTGGGGAGGGGGTGTCAGAGTGGGGGAGAATGATATGCACTTGCTGTGTTCACAACTTGAGCTCGTTTATAAATGATCCTAGTCATTGAACATCAGTTCAATCAAATGAAGAAATGTAAACAGTTGAAGGTTTGGTCTCCTGTAGTAGTTCTCTATTCTTGAAAACAATCCAACCTCAGAACTGAAAAAATTCAATAAAGCTGGAAGAAATTATGTACAAAGTACAGGGATATATGTACATTGAATTTGGCATTGTAATGTGGACGGAACATTCTAGATTTAGATTTAAAGTGAAGCAGATTTAAAATCAGCTATTTTGGAAGTTAACCCCAAACTGTGTTTTTTGGTGAAAGATTCCCCTTCCTTCCCCCCATCATTCATGTACATTATTCCACGGGCCACTTTCCAGCACTCTGATAAAGCTGACTAACATCAAGCTGCAGGATGACCCTCTTTCCCAAGTTTCTTATAAAAAAAGTTTACCATTAGTTACAGGAATTAACATTGTATTTTTGGCATGCCAGTAATAGTCCTCTGCATGAATGGTTGCCTGTCCTTGAGGTAGGCAGGAACCGTACTTGTAATACATGTTTATCCATTTCCTTCCTTACTTATTCATATACATGTTCCTTACATGCTCTGCTTATGCTCTTTTCCTACCTCCATGGCTTATCCTAGTTGCTTGGAAAACAATCAACAAACACAAGTTTTTTGGTTGTCTTGATGGGAATCGGTTCTTTGGAAAATATATATGCATTCAACAAAAGTTAAACGATAATAGTCCCAAAAGACTTCACTGCAGTCTCATTTTCAATGTCAGTCATGGCAGAACTGATTCACACATTTCCAATATATTTATTTTTAAACTGCTTTCTTTAAGACTCAACCAAGCGTATGTTTTGTACACAGAAATGTGTAGGCTCAGATTTGAACAAATGGAGACATTTCTCAAGTTGGTCCCCTCCTCAAATAAAATGACATTAGTCGTGACATAGCAGTTTTACAATAAAAGTGCAGTTTTTCAAAGAATTTTTTACCTAATTTGTGAATGTCATGCACTGCATGTGTTTCTCTTGAGCAGGATGAGACATTAAGCATGCATCTGTGAACTTGTTCATGAAAGGGCCTTGCAATTTAAAATGCAATTTTCTTACTACAATCCTTGAGATATGGTCTCTCTTTGATCAACCATGTATTGCATTTTGTGTTGCTGCTTTTTGGCATTGATGCAAATACAATTTCCATATACATGAGATACATGTAACCTGTGACATCATTATAGGGAGAAAACTCCACTGTTATAAAGTTTCATGCCCCCGTTGATTCATTTTTGAGTGCATGACAATGAGCCAACAAGCTACATTGTACCAGTCCTCAGAAATGTTTTCATCAAGTGAATTTTCGGGTTACCATAAAAACAACCCATAAACTGAACAGTGTCTTCACTGTTTGACATCACAGCAACACTGTCATGACTGTTGTCTCGAAATTTGAAATGTTTAAAACGTGCGCATGCACTGAACCTCCCAACAGGATGCTCAATTGTCACACAAAACATTGTTCCCTGAACCCTTTGTCTAGAGGGATTTTCCCTTCAAAAACCCAATAGTGGTCGTTATCAGCAACCATTTTGTGGAAATCTATATGGATCTGTTGCTGCCTTTGTATAAGGACCCTGCTTGACTATACACGCTTGGCTAGTGACCTTTGAACCTCGGTGTTTTTCAAAGACATTGGGGTACATGTAAAAGTATTTGTCCGGTGCTCATACATGTACATGTATATCCGGGTCTTTTCTTTCCGGATTTTTCCCCCTTTTCGTCTTTCAAATGGCGATTCTTTGTGAGAAATACAAGAGGAGGGCGTGTGGAGAGGAACACATGCCAAAGTTTCCTTTCAACTGAAACATTTTCGGTTTACAAATGTCTGACTAATTTGATTTGATTTTTTCCCCTGACCAGTGTGTATTGCAGTGACTTTTTTATATTTAGCTGATTTCTATGATTTACAGTCCAACTGCCACATCTAAATTTCGGATAGAGCTAGTGAAGAAATTCTTGCTTGTCTTGCCGGTGTCTCCCCAACTACGCAGAGGCAGATTTATGCAAAACTTGTGAAACAAATTTAGACCCAGATCTCTGTTCCAGAGAAGACTGAAATTGCTTTTGTGGGGTAGGGTTCGAGTTGTTAAAAGGGGTTGAGGACAGAAGGTTGGGAAGGGAGGTAAACTCAGAAAAGAAAAAGTTGGATGGGTATGGCAAAGAAAGCTTGTTAACAAAAGAATTGGGCACTGAGTTTAACTGCTGTTGGACTACTCTATTAAGTTTGCAGGATCTGCTGAAAGAGGGGTGAGATTGGAGGGAGGTGAAATATGAACAAAAGAATCGCTGTGGATTTTGAGGACCCTGCCGCAGCATAGGGTTTGTGGTATAAATTTGTGTTTGCCAATATGTACATGTACATGTATCAGCATCCCTCAAAATACCCATTTCTTGTGTTCAATGTCGTGTTCATACGTAAACACAGGACTTTCTGGATTTTAAGAGATTTAATTGTTTGAAAAATCCTGAAGTCAGGCAAAATCCTGATGAAAAAACCTGAATTCAGGAAAAATCCTGACAGATCTCAGTTATCTTTGTGAAATGCTTCTACTATGCTTTCTCTTTTCCATCTGACAGTTCGCATTTTAAGTTCTCACTTCAGTCATTAGTCATATTTTTTTCTACTTTCGCCACAATTTTAGCCAGTGAACAGGGGTCATCGTCCACTGTCAGTGATGGAAACAACCCACTCAAGCCGGAGCAGCAAGGAGCTCCCACAAGGAACAAAAGCGATGCTGTCAAGGCAACTTCCACCCGACTTCCTTATGCTGTTCCTGAAGAGGAGTCTTTGCATCCGATGCACGGCAGTGCTGATGTCAAAGGTCAAGAGGCAAGCCTGCAGAATGGTGATGTCAAAGTTAACAGAACTGGACCGGAGGAGAGTCGGGATGAAACTGGCATGGCAACCGATGAAGGAATGCTAGCATGTGACAAGAACGCTGAAAAAGACATCCATTCCGGGACGGATGGGAGTAGTGATGAGCAAGAGGTCACAATGTGTCAGGAGGCTGCCCTGGATTCCCAGGCCAGCCAGATTGATGGAAATTATGGCTCAAAAGGTGGGAAGCCTTCAAGGGTGCACTTTGCAGAGACCAGAGCTATGGACATTATAAAATCTGAAGAGGACAGTATTAGAGAAGATGAAAGAACTAATAAGCCCACGGAGAATGGGTCCTTGACAGCAGTTGAGTATCTGCCTGCTGGATGATCAAATACCTACCTTCACCCACATTGTAAAGATGTAGACACTTGTGCCAACTTTGGTTTAATCGGGTCATGTTTTTATTTATTTAAAGTCTTAAATTTACATAGTGTACTCTCAAAATTCCAATGAGTGAATATTCACTCTATTCGAGTGAAACTTAAATCCCTATGATTGAAATTAAGGACCAAATGAAATGTAGTGAAATTTCTTCACTCTAAAAGATTGAAATTTCACTCGAGCTTCCTCTGAAAGGCGCTATTTTCAGCCTTTTTCAGTCTAAATTCAGAGTGATTTTCACTCTAAAACGTTTTGTCCTTAATTTTACTCTTCCCGATTTAGAGAGTATATTTTTGGGACGTCACTTGCATTTCACTAGTTCTCTGTTTTCGCCATAATTTTTCTCCTTTAAAACTTGAAAATCCAGCTAAAATTTCCTGAAAAAGGTAAGGATTGACAGTTCAGTCAGTCTAAATTATCAGAGCAGAAATATAAAATGAGGTTTCCAGGATTAGAAGTGTCACAGGGTCGTCATTTTTAAAAGCCATGAACATTACTCATAATGTAAAGTGGCGATTTTGTGCTACATTCTCTTAATTACAATGTACACTGTATATACAGTTCTTAAAAGGAGAAAATTAGTGTCGCCAGAGAAAAACTGGTATTAATTTGTTTTGCATTCCAATGTGCATCCCATTTAAAAAACACACACTCATTTCACACTAGAAGTTCATGTACATGTAGTTGCTGGAGCCAGGCACATTATTGGGTCGAAAGTCTGTTATTACTGAAAGAAAAATTGTTGCAGATTTAGTCGGGAAAAATATTATGTGACCTGTTTCCAGGAAGTGGAATAATTCGATTCACCAGAATCAGATCTGAGATTTGAATCCTTTCGCTGATAGAACATGTGCTTATCTTGAAAATAGTGAAGAAATGTGGCTGGTTTAAAGAGTACAGCTATAAAAATCTTGGTTTAAAATAGGGTTAAAATTTCACAAAACTGGACTGGTTTTTCTTGTCACTTGAGGAAGCTTTTGTTTTTTTAGAGCTTGACATATTTCTGATACATTAGCTATTCATTATTGTGCTTTTTTCTTGCCAAGCATGGTGAATAACTCTTGAAGAATTGTACACTGGTCTGATTGTTAATTCGTCAGCAAAAAACATTTTGCTTCCCAGGCAAAGTTCAACTCTAACATTATTTGTGCTTTGAATTTACATTCGTTATTTGCACATGCAGTGCAAAGTTACCCCTGGACTAGAAATTGTAATGTTCTCATAATTTCAGTGCCTTAACAAGATCTGGGCACTTTTTTTACCAAAATCTTTACAGCTTTAAAAGATGCACAAGGACCTAGTGGAGGCACTACTCAATAGTTTGTACTACACTGTACACGTACATGTATATTTCATCCGCACTGTACAATGTATGCTTTAAGTGTTTACATTGATGATCCAATCATGTCATAGTTCGCACGAGTGTACATACATGTATTTGCTCTGGATAAATATAGCCATTTATGTCAACATGGACAAAGCAAAATAAAGACTAACATGCAGAAAATTAACTTTAGCACTATTTCGACTTACCAAAGTCAGTTCACCATACGTTTACTGGTAGCTGAATGATCACTATGAAGGTATGCTGGTTGCACTGATGAATTCCTGTAATTTTTGTACTTTAAGAATGCCTCAAGAATTTGATGGAAAATAAAATCTTGAAGTTTAGTCTCTTAAAGCTTGTAATCTTGTCACACACTGTACTTTTTTAACATCTGTGTAGAGTGTCATGGCTTCTTTATATTCACAGGCGGGAAGACAAATGACAGTTAAAACAGTAGTGGAAATAGCCTATATTCCAGGGGGAAAACTTACTTCAAAGAAATAATCTCCATCATTTATTGAAGAAAATAATCAGAAAAAGGGTACGTAAATTTCAGCTGGGATCAGAAACTGCATTTTAAATCTACATTGGCAGCCTCAACATAAGCTGCAGATTATTTTGTCCCGTAAAAGGTTAAGTTTTAAAGTGATTTTATTTTTCAATTTGCCAGAGAAAAATCGGCCCCTGAAAATTTATTATCCTTTTGAGGAACAGTTTTGCCTTTGAAAATGTGGATCTACACAGATATGCAGCTGGAAACAAGTTGACTGATGGCACTATGCTTTTGTCAAGTAGGGCAAATGTTTGCTTACAATTGATAAGTCCCAAGTCCAACTACCGTAGTTGCAGTGATATGAAGAATGGATGGAAAAGAGAAACCTTTGAAACTGAATATTTGCTGCCCCACAAAATGATGGGTGTAATTTTCACGATGCCTCGGCAACAGAAATATTAACAGCATTTTGGGGCCGGGGGTTGTTATTTTACCATGATAAATAGCTATTTATCTCTTCACTTTGTACTTAAGCCAGGTTTAGAATTGCATTTACAATGTAAGCTGAACCTAACAAGTACATAGACATTTGTGGGTGGCAGAGAAAAAAATGTGTTGATTCACTAAGGTGCTGTGAATTTATGGTATTAGGCCCCCTTGAAATCTGAAATGCGCTTGGAGATAGGGGCTAATGAAAAGTTTCTGCTCATTGTAATGATTGATGTGAATAATACTCAGCCTGCCAGAGGCCACCCAGCTTCCCATCAGTAAATGGCAGTCTGGACCACCTGCCCCTGGGTTGTAAAACTTGTCTGTGATACAGGTCCAGCTACATACATTTGCAAGAGAAATTAGACCATTTGATCACAAGCCAACCTCAGCTTATTATGGCTACCAATTAGTCTTTTTCTTTCATGGTGTTCTTCCTGCATTGTCCGGTTGCTTTTGCATACAATTTTCTTTTGCTTTCTCCCAATGTACATGCATTTTTTTCTGTTTAAATTGTGGTTGAAGAGAAACAAGGGTTTTGTTGCGATGAAATCAAATTGAAGTCACAACCCAGTAACTGTCAAAATGAGCTGTCACCAAGACATTGCTTTAATTCCCAGACAGGAGTTTTTCACATCTGTAATACTTTTTATTACACCTTTTTTTGCACATATCCCTTCTGAGTTATATTTGTTCTAAAACTTTTTTGCGGGAAGATATTCTTTGTTATGGCATAAATTTGAAAATTAAAAGTTAAACTGCCCTAACAAACAAAATATACACAAGATAATTACAAATAGTTCAACATACGACTTTTTGTAGAGAGTGCACCTGGCAAAGTCTCCACTATCTTCAAACACGTGTACTCAAAAGAAATCCAGTGCTTACCTCATTTTGTCCTTTGTCTAATGACTGACATCAACAGACAATCAGACCGTTACATGGTCTTTGGGTTTCACCACTTTTCAAAATTGCATCAAATCCTATAGTTAACAAAGCCATATGAAATTGAGCATCAACTTTTTTTTCCAAATAGGCCTGGAAACTCTGACAGGTGCACTGAGCAGGGTATGTATGCAAGTAGGGTAAAGCTTGCCATTGCACCCTCTTTTTTCACCTCAACAAAAAACTTAAAAACATACCCCTCAATAATTTTATATGTCAGACATTCTGTACAGGTGTAGGTACATATAGGCAATGCTGTATCACGCTAACTGCTGATACCAAGGCTTCATAAACAGACTCATGGAAAATAACCGTAATGCAACCACTGAGGACAAGGCACAGTGCCATATTCATTACCATGAACTTAAGAGCAATATTTCAGTTAAAATCGATTATTAATGTTTAAAACTGTAATCACGTACATGTACATCGGCAATCTGATCTTATTAAGCCTTCATTCACTTCATCCTTTTTTCCACAAATCGCGGCATACAGTGTATATATCAGATATTTTGATATCTACATTGTGCTGAAATATGACCACTTGAGATTACAGAATGTGCTTAAGAATGAAATCTCCAATGGATTGTTCTAATCCGACTCTCAAAATGTACTGGTTGCAAGGCATGAGAAGTATTGCTAATTTGTTAAACACATGCCAGAATAATGAAAAACAATGCAGTGTGTAACTGCATTTAAACCATTAGTTATTAAATGCGTAAAAAGTATTAAGTTGACATGGCGTCATACTGATTATCGATTGCCTGAAATCCACTCTGCAAAGTGTCAAAAATGACCACAGAACGATTTTTCTGGGAGTAACCTACTTACGAGAAAAGTTCAAATGAACCCTTTTAAAAATTCTCCTGGGGAAAATTCTATTTCAGTGAAAATAGGCTGAATTTTGAGAGGCTTTATAGAATTTGAATGTTACGGTCCACACAGAATTGTACATTCCATCACTATTGTAAACTGATCTCTGATTATTATAAAACAGCAAGAGAATAATCATTCCAAATCCAAGTATTACAATTCTGAATAAATTTAAGATCAATATGTAACTCTGCCTTTCTACAAGTGGCATACTTTCAAAATAACTAAATTCCAGTTTAGTACATAAAAATGGTTTCAAAATCCTATCCATACTGCCATAACAGCTAAGGTTAGCGTTTGTTTAGGATATCCAATGCTTGCGTAGGCAGGTGCAATCACAGACAATCAGGGTAGAAGTGATTGACTTTTATGCCATTGGAAGAGTTTGGGTCATTTCCTTTTTTCTGTCTGGATGAAATGGTCTATCTACAATAGACACACTAAATTCCAACCTAGCATCTCAATTCACTACTGAGTGCTTTGAAATGTCAAATTGGAGAGAAAAACCCTAAAACTTCAACCTGTGGATTCAACTGGTAACAAAGCAGCAAAAGGAAAGTTTCATGGGAAAAAAACCCCTGATATTAGTTTAATCCAGCAACAGTTAAGTATTTCTTTCCGGTGGGTGCTGTTGAAGGTGTGGTGCCTAGCTCTGGTAAATTTACAGGGGAAAAAAAACAAACACAAATTTGAAGATGAGATTTCTTGCCTGGAAAGCCCAAAAATGACAAAATCAGGATGGTGTGTGTGTGGAGTGTGTGAAGTATCGACCCAACAGATTGAGCTCCCACACTGTATTTGTTTTTCCCTTGTTGCCATGACAACATGCACTATTTGCACAGCCAAGCAGACTGTATGGATTTTACTGACATGCATCGGTTAACATGTAATCATATGACTGTTCAGAGCTAGACTTTAGTGGAAACTGATCTACGTGTATTTATTGACAATGACATCCGTACAAAACTTGAAGGCACAATAGGGAAACGCACACCAAGCCTGACTGCTCTTGTATACTAGAGTCATTGCCCGCCCGCCCCCCTTCAAGGTGTTGTAACACCTCTCTCGCTCTCTTTTTCTGCAGCAACAAATCATTCCACAGACTCTAACACCATATGCTTTACATAACTTCTGCTTTAAAAATATCTGCTAAATTTCAATTTGGCACAGTGATTACTGTTTAGAATAACACCAGCTTCATTAAAATTGTTCCTCCAGCTGCAACCACAGAAGGCTTTGCAAAAACAAAAGTTGGCAAAATCACACTTTCTATAATAATCCTGCATACATGACTGTATTCTAACAATTCTTATTCAGCTGCTAAGCATATTTTAGTTCAAGATACATTGATATTTCTATTTCTTAATATAGCCAACCACTCACAACCTCTTATAAATGCTTAAAAAAATTACCGATTTAGGTTACCATTTTTTCCTCTTTAGTACAGGCACAAATTAGGCATTACTAATGGTAAAGGCAACATTATGAAATACTTGGTTTGTGAAGTCTTGAGCTTTACACACTTATTGAAATGTTCCTGATGGGTAGTGAGTGTGACTATTGAAGTTCCAAAGCACTGGCTACAAAGGTCAGTTAGATGTCAAAACTGTATACCATTAGCAACCTGACACGTTTCTAGCCTGAAACCCCCCCTCATCTGTTATTCACTTACTGATTTTGTGTGCAAAAATGCAAAACCTTTCCCCAAAAGATTCAAGTGTTTTCTCAGCCCAAGTGAATGCCGATAGCTGACCAATTACCAAGGTGCATTCCTACTTTATAAGGGCTTGGTAAAATCTCTTGATGAAGTGATTCACCAGAAGTACAGATATTTGTTAAGCACATAAATTATCTGCTCAGCAAACCCCGGTTAACCAACCAAAAATGTTGCCAAGTGCACAATTCGGTTGTCCACTGATGACTGTTTGGGTTTTGAATGTAAGTTTCCGAGAAGCATGCACGACTCACTCTCTTTCCTTGGCTACAGCTTAAACTGCAAGCACAAATAATTTTGCCAAGTGGCTGTAGCAACCAATCCAAGATTCTTGCATGCTTTCAAGCTCTACCCAGGAACAGGTGTGGACGCCACTTCACAGAAAGTGGTATCGAGTATCCTGGTGTGGTTTGCAAGGTTGACAGAATTTGTGACCCCCCCCCAAAAAAGTACTGCGTGGCTCTCCAATGATTGCATGCTATTCAGGAAGTAAATGGTAGTTCACATATCGGTATGTAATCCTGGGTTTGTCAGGTCGAGAAAACATGAGCATACAAACTCAAACATAACCCCTTGCTACTTTCGTTCTCTTTGACACTTTTGGGGGATCAAGGGTCAGTACGCTCGTGAAAAGATTGAAAACCACTAAAATGGGTGATCCATGACCGACATACAACTGTACACAGATAAAATGTCAGAGGTATGGTACTCTGCTGCTGACAAAACACCTGTTATATATGTGTGTCGCCATCACTATAGCGAACACTCAGCATACTACAAAACTTCAGTGACTTATACAAGCCAAGGTTCAATGCAGCAATCAAATACCGTCTTGTTTCCATGCCAGTTGGTGTGCTTGACTCCCGGTATGACGTAAGTCTTGAGGGCATCTCGCTGGTCGAGGGTTTTCAGACCAAAGTAATCCATCTTGTACACCTTTGGGAAGAAGACAAAAGAGTCAGTTGTTGGGCAATTCTGGGCTGGGTTCTTGGAATTATTTGAGGAGAGAACAAACGATTATACTCGGCAAGATATGGGACCGAGGGATACCCCCCTACATGTCCAATCCCTACAGAATCTCTAGACTACTGTTACCTGACACATCCCCCCCCCCGATGTCTGAAAAGACTTCCTGAGATTCCTGTAAAGCAATGACCAACACAAAAGGGGGGGTTCTCTCCGTCCCACATCTTGCTTCAAATGTAAAAGATCTAACCAAAGTTTCCAATGGAATGTGCACAAAAAGTTCAAACAGCATGCAGGTCATTTGCTAACAGTAGAGAATGAAGAACACACAATCTTGGTGCAATCAGCCTTTTTGAGCATTCTTGCTGAAAGAGTGAACAAGCAAAGGAGCCCAACAAGAATGGCTGACAGGCACTCAAGCAGACGCTGGTGTACTGTAGTACATACCTCTTGATCTTTCATTTCCACAACTTTCTCACTGGTATCGTAAAATCCAAAGTGGCTGAAAAGAAGACAAAATAAAAGGGATGCTTTCAACGTCATTTTCTGAATGAGTAGATCCTTTCCTGCACTGGCACACAACAGAAGACAGGCAGAGGTCTCTTGGACTTTGCAGTTTACCTTGTAACAGGAACCTTGGATTGTTAGAAATAAAAATGAGGAACAAAGAACTGGGATCTTAAACTTCTGGCTACCTTGGTGCTAAAGGATTCCAAGACGCAATGTAGCCAGGCCTACCTGGATTGCCACGGTGTGATGACACCATCATCCGGCCCACCAATCATCACCATCTGCTTCAGACGAAGAAAGTTAGCTTTCCATTCTAGAGCAAAAAAAAAAAAAAGAATGTAGTTACTTTACCTTACACGCTAGACCTATATCAGATAGAGTGCTAACTCGCTGTGCAAAATGAAGCCTGCTGTGGAAAACTCTAAATTCTGTATGGTTTTCGTACAGCTATTTGCATATCTGCATTCTGAAATGATGCATCAACAATGCCAAAACACTTTTCTTTTAAAATTTTTTCGTTGTCAATGTTCAACTCAATCTTAAATTTTTTTGTTCACATTTTAGTAACTTATTTGATAATGTAATAAAATGTACTGTAAATTTTTACTGTAATCTTGCCTTTGGCCACAAATGTAAAATTAAATAAACCAAACCAAACCCAAATATGCAAAATCAGTTCTTGAGCATTTTGTTTTTCTCTGTGTAAGTGATGCACATGTGTGCTGCAGATGAAATAGCTGAAGATTTTCATTGCATCATTCACCCGACTGAGAGTGCACTTCAATGTTACTTGCAATGCTGTGCATATGCAATGCATTTATTGAGTACATCATTTGGAATTCGTTTCATCTTATTTCGTCATGTTTCCAAGATGAGGTCAAAGTGTCTCTACGCAGGGAATGAGGAGTTTGTGCACTGGTGATTTAGCTCTAGGCAGTGAGGGGTGGGAGTTTAGAAATACTATCAACATGTTCAAAATAAAGAGCATATTAGGTTTAAAAGCGATCTCAGATGTTAAAATGGCCGCTTCATACATCTTCACCCTGTGGTGTAGTTACATGTAGAATTACACAGCATACTGTTGGAGCTTTGCCCACTTTTACATTGGTATGACAAGTCCACACCACTTTGCAGAAAAAAACACCTGCTGTGAGAGTGTAGTCTTGATGCTGATTTGAGAGGAATTCTGCAAACCCTCAATCCACTCCGAGCGGAACATCAGAGGGCATGTTTTTTTGGTACTCACAGCATAGCGGCGCCATGAGGTGTGCAAGTATATGCGTGTTTGATGCTGAGCACGCTGAGTATGTACATGTATAACCAATTTATTCCGGCTTGTATGGTCTTTGCGTACACGCAGAATGCGTGCAAGAACCCGCTTGTTACCACCTGTCTTTCTTTCCCTGATTGGGGGTGCACTTCAGCTCGGGGCAGACACCAACCCCTAATCTAGGAAATCTTGTGTAATGCTTTAACTTCCGTCCCATCAAACTACTTCAACAATACCAAGCTATATAATGTGTGACCAGCTCAATGAAAATGAATCAAAAGGCCATTTTGCAGCAATTTTATTCAGTTTCCCGATAACAAAAGCAAGCTGAGCCCTTTTTTGTGTCGGTGTGTCATTCATAATGACATCTTGACGGTAATGGACACTATGGCAGCTTCTGTTGCTTTCCACGCTGTAAGATTCTTTGAATGGCCTGGAACTTAAAGAGTGGCTCTGGCAACTTATTACATGTACTTTTTGCAGAGTTGTAGTCAACGCCACTTAAGACCTTCACAAGACCACTTAAGACCTTCACAAGACCACTTAAGACCTTCACAAGACCATACATTCTGCCCATGGCAGAAAAGGGGAATATGAGAAGTCAGCCATCATCAAGCATTCCCACGCCGAAGACCACACCATCAACTGGGAAGAAGCCCACCTCATCGCCAACATTGAACAGTGGTACCCAAGACGCATTAGAGAAGCTTTGGAAATCTCCAAGCACCCCACCATACCTCAAGACATCGGCTTCTCCATCAGCGATATCTGGCAGCCCCTCCTCACCTCCCGGTCTGATGGGTCCTCTATACCCTAAGACCCCCCCCCCGCCCAGGGTCTCCTATAACCAGGCAAACTTCCCCCACCACAGCCCATGACCAACTGACATGCATCAGTACCCAGGAGGATCCACCG